GGATCCCTCTTTTCTGTTTGCTGCATCATGAGAATCTCCCCCAACTGGTGTGACTGCCCCATTTTACATGGTACGTGAGGGGTTGTGAGGGGCAGCCCCTGGGACGCAACAGGGAAAGTGCAGGCCACTCTTTCTAAAGAGACACTGATGGGCCCGTTGGGGTCCCCAGCCCTCATGATTGTGGCCCTCCTCAGATCCCCAGCTCCTTTCTTCTCTTTCTGGTGCCTATTGTGTCTCCCTAAACAGAACTTGATCTTGTCTCTTGCTCGGTCCCTGGTGAGAGCCTATGGGTCCTGAAGCACTAAATGGGGAGTGGGCGTGGGTAGGCCAAGAGCCCTCCCAGAGCTCCCTGTGGCCCTTATGCCTAACTAAGTGTCCTTCAGCCCAATTAACAGTAAGGATGCCCCCTCCCTGATGGCCAGTACTCCCTTGTGCCCTGGGAGTCCCTTTGCTCTCGAGTCCTTGGCTTCCTCACTCATAGGTTAGAGAGGGGACCCAGTGTGCTCCACAAGATCCTGCCCCACTGCAGGTTTTCTCACTTCTGCCAGCTTTCTAGGAGAGTGGGGGACTGCAAAAGTTCGGGGTTGGGGCATACCGACTCAGGGGTGCTGTCCTGCCCTATCCAGTATCCTTGGGAACCCACTACTCCACTGCTCCCTCCCTAGCCAGTTAGTTCTCTGTGCATCTCCAGGCACACGCTGCTGCCTGGGGCCAGTCAACCCCAGCCCAGTCCTGCCCTTCTCCCAGGGACGCTGTCATCAGTACTGCCGCACCTCCTCCTCCCTGGGCTCATTCTGGGTGGGGGGAGTGGGTCTGAGCAGAAAGTGGGGCCAGCATAGAAAACCCCCCCAACCCTGGGCATCTGCTGGCCATAGAGGCCAGAGGCTTCTCTGGGGTCACCGGGTGGTCAGTGCCACAGGACTCCCTCTATAACCTCACCAGGTAGGCATCATCCCATGCTCCTCCAGGTCACGGTGGACACCTGGACCACAGTAGCCCTCCATTTGGCTGTGGGACCTCCAGCAAGTCACACCCAATGACTGTGTCTCCCCAAGGCTGCTATGTTGTCTCAAGAGCAAACCCACAGGTCACTATAATGCATAGTCAGGCTCTGGGGCTCCTGTGCACTCAGCACTGGGTGCCACTTTACCCAGAGGTGACTAAGCTCAGGGAGACAAGTCACTGAGCTAGTGAGCAGTGTCAGTGCACAGGTCTAACGACGCTACCTGTTCCTTTCACACCAACGGACAGGACTTCTGGAAACTCTGGTAGACTAAGAGGGGCTGTACCCAGTGGCCCCCATGGGCTCTGCTTTCTCTGCCCTGTACCCTCTCTAGGGGAAGAACCTCTCCCCCCACCCCCGCCCCACCAGAGACTGGAGCCAGGGGAGACCCAGCATACCCCAGAGAACCTGCCAAGAATGGGCAAACAAGGGTTTGCTCTGTAGGTGGAGGAGAGGGGAGGTGTAGGTGGTGAGAGTGGGAGAGGGGAGAAGCTGGAAGGCGTGGGAAGAGCAAAATGTTCCCTGCAGGAGGGGCGCTCCAAGCCACTTACTGGAGCAGGAGTCCATCTGTGGTCCCACGCTGCCCCCGTGTGGACAACAGGCTCACATTCCTGCCTGCACCCCTAACCCGGCAAACAGGTGGCCCCAGTGGAATTTCTAAACCACACCCAGTGCTCAGACTGCAACCCCCAGTCTGCTCTCCTACAGCTAAAACATCCTGGTTTTGATAACCCACTCATTGTCCTTCATATCTGGGCACACCGGTGGTCCCTGCCTCTCTGGAGCTACAGGACTGAGGGGACTCAGCACCCCTAAGAGGATACCACGTCTCTCCATCCTGGCCCTTCCTTGGATCCTGTCCTAATCTTTAGCATCCTCTTGCCACTGGTCTTCTTTCCCTAAACTCTGTCCCATTCCCCAGAAGCCTTATGGAAGAAAAGTATGGATGGGACTAGTGATGATTGACCCACTCTGCACTCAGCACTGGGTTCAGTGCTTTACTCGAATTAGTCAGTTATGGCTTGCAAGGCAATCACTATTTCTACCTCCAAGTGACACTCAATACCCAGGCTTAGAAGCAGCAACCTGGGGGTCTCCCTGGTGGTGCAAGGGGTTAAGCGTCAGCACTATGAAGCTGTCTGCAACTACTGCTGCAAGTTCAATCCCCACCCAGGGAGGTGATCCACATGGCACAGCAGACCTCTCCTGTCTCGCCCGCTGCTCCCCTCAGCAGTGTATTTCAGTCAATCCGTCTGTTCCGCTCCCCACTCTGTCTCTGGTGAATCCTCTCACCCCTTGCACCTCTAGCCTGTACCCCAGTTCTTGTATGCATAAATAAATAAATCTTTTTTTTTTTTTAAAGTAGCAACCTGGACCTAGCAGAAGAGCTGACTCTCATCTCTGTGAAATCCCTCCAGGCCTACTGACCACTAGCCTCCTGGACTTGTGGAATGTGAACATTTAACTCCTCAAACATTTTCCTGGACCTCACGTGCATTCAAGGCTATGCTAGACACTGTGAAAATAACCCCAGATGTCTCCAAACATGTTACTTCACTGAATAGGAGCCCCTGGATCTCACCTGAACTGTGGCTCTGAACAAGACCTGGATAGGACAACCAGGACAAGGCCATAGCAGGTCACAAGGCTTGGGAGGACCACATTCAGTCCTGCCCAGGCCCAGGTTTGTCTGCTCACCCAGGACTCACATGTCTCTGTCTTGTGCCCAAGGCATTTGCAAAGGAACTTGATGAAAGTTCTCTGCTGAGTGTACCTAGTGTCTCTGCCCCAACTGTGCCACAGTGGAGAGCCAGCAGATGCAGGCCTCTGTGTGGACGCAGGACAGAGTTTAGGGAAAGATCAGTGGCAAATGGTTGCTTGAAATGAGGACAGGATCCAAGGGAGGGCCAGGATGGAGGGAAGTGACAGTCTTAATGGGTACTAGGTCTTCCCAGTCCTGAAGTTCCAGAGACACAGGGGAAGTGGAAGACACAGAGTGTCAGCCCTAGAGGAAAGATTAACTTCTTAACTGTTTCTGTGCCCGAAACGTCTTGACATCTAGCGATGCTTATTGATCTCTTGTCAGAACAATGTTTTAAATGTGTAAAATAAAATAGGATTACAAAGGATTTTCATGAATAGAGAAATAAGTTCACAAATTATGATTGAATGAGTAGAATCAGGTCATAGAAGAACTTGTATAGTAAAATTCCATTTACAAAGAAAGAAAGGGGTGTGTGGAGGGGGGAGGGCTTGCTCTGCTTCTGTGATGTTAGCCTGGTGAAACTGAGTCCTGAGCAGGTGCCTCTGCTCACTTTTTAGGAGCTGTAGGAGCTACTGCCCAGTTGGGAAGCCACATGGTGGGCAGCCTATTTAAAGTTATCACTGTCTCCTTCTGCTGGTTTCTACCTTGCTTGCTTCTCATTCTCAAGGATGCAGCAGTCAGACCACTTCCTTGTCCCAACCTCTGGCCCTACCTCTCCCATGCCTTGGGCTGAGGCCCTAACTACAGACAGGTACCCCACCACCCCCACTTCCTGCAGTCCCCACCTCAGCCCATTAGCACAGTCCACTTGTTAGCACAGTCAAGGATTTTTCTCCTATGGAGACACCTTCTTCTCTGGCTTCAAATGTGTCTTTGTTGGCACCAGTTTACCTGTTGGCATCTGAATCTGCTGTTCATTCTCTTAACTCACACCTGCTAAAAGATTTCACTCTCCTTTCTCAGGAATACTTTGGTAGAGTCATCTCATGTCCTGCTTCCACATCCTCCTTTCCCCTTTACTCCCCATCTTTTTGCAATATGCTTGTCACTCCATGAACCTGCCTTCCCAAGAAATGTCCACTCAGCAGGTGTTTACAAATCTCCTGCTCTACATCAAATGTGTCGATTAATGGCAAAAAATGAAGTTCAGTTCTGAACTCATGGTGTTTGTGCCAAAGGACACGCACACAAGTAAATAAAGAGCATAATTAGAATCTGGGGAAAGTCTGGGAAAGAAGACAACAGAATGAAAGGACACCCAGTAACTGGAGAAATGAGGCAGAGGGTCTCTGTTCTAGAAGGCAGTCCTCTGCCAAGAAAGCACACCATCCAAAATGCAGGACAATGATCCAGGTGGAGGAGCCAGTATCCACCCGCACTGCCTCCACTCCGGTCCAGGGACCATGACTCTCCCAGGTTGTTCTGCAACAGTATCCTCACAGCTCTCCATCCACCACTATGCCCCTTACAGTCCATTCTCCACGCCGTAGCCAAGGGTACTTTTAAAAGCATAGATCTCCTGCCAGCTCCTGACTAACATGCATGTTCAAGGACTCCCTTTACCTTCAGGGCTTTTAGTGAAACTAGGAAGCCAAGAGCCTGTTCCAGGAGAACAAGAGGAGTACGGGACCTAACTGTGCTGCCCTGATCTGGAAGGACTTGACTCCGAAACCAGAGCGAGGCAGTAGCAACGGATGCCTCGGTTAAGGGGCTCCACTCGGCGCCTCTACTCACTCTGTACAGGGGGAGAGAAGGCGGAATTAAACATGACGGGGACGGGCCAGGCTCATAGCACCGCCTCTGGGTGTGGCTTGTGCCCTCCCCGGCTTCGGAACCTTTTTTTCTGGAACTAGGGGAAGCTTTTCCAGTAGTACCTTCCGGCGTCGCCAACTCAATTTCCCGTGCGGCACCGCGGCCCTTCTTTCTCTTCCGGCTCAAGGCGCCTGGGGAGCCGCGGGCCTCGGTGAGTGGTGGCCGCGCGGCATCCGAAGCCATCCGCTGCTCGCGGACGGCGGCAGGGCGCTAGCCATAGAGAGAACGGAGAGAGCGGCTGCGTGGCTATGGGGAACGGAGGCCTCGCGCCTGGGGTGGTGGTCTTGGGTTCTCAAGGGATGGATGAGAGGGGAACTCGAATTCGGGGGGAGATTGCAATCTTGCGGCTGGGTGTGTTTGAGTGAGGAGGTCCGTTTTGAGGCTCCACTAACAGTTTGGGAGGTGGGAATTGATGTCGGGTTGTGCAGAATGAGTCGTGGCGCGAGTGGAGGCCCCAGAACCAAGGCGTCCGTGCTACTGCCTCCCTCTGTTTCTGGAGTCACGTTCTTCCAGATCAGGGCAGCACAGTTAGGTCCTCGGCAAGACCCCAGCCCTTATCTCCACTCTTCTCCAGGTGCAGACATGGCCAAGTCCAAGAACCACACCACACACAACCAATGTAAGTTTCCCAGGCCCGTCGTCCATCTCTCGCCCCGGATCCTGGCCAGCATTAGGGATACTGGAGCAAGCGAGAAGGCGCATTTATGCCATGGGGTCTGGGACTGATTTTGGTTTCAACCAGCATAGCTTTTGGGTTTATAGATTTTTAAGGAAGGAGTCCACTTGAGATACCTACTGTGTTTTGCTTGCAGTGTTAGTGGGGTTCCCAGGTCAGCTCTGGGAAGTAATGGTGGTCCTGGGTTTGTCAGCTATGGTGCTGGGTGGTCTTATTAGAATGCATCTCATTCTTTTATCTAATTACTTTCCCTGCAGCCCGAAAATGGCACAGAAATGGCATCAAGAAACCCCGATCCCAAAGATACGAATCTCTTAAGGGGGTGAGTATATGCACTGAATCACATAGTATGTGGCTGTTTGGCTCTAGTTGCACAGTAAGGGCCTTTCATATATAGATTTTTTGGCTTCAGCCAAAAAACTGATGTTTACTGTCTCACTTCTTACCTGGACTACCAAAGCCTACAATTTCTGTATCTACCCTTTATTAATCTTTGCCAGATCTATAATAAAACTTTACTTGGCCTTCCCCTGTCTGGGGTATAACTCCCTAGTCAGGATATAACCTGCTTCCTGAGGGCAGTTAGAACAGGTACTTTGTGAGCCTTCCATTCTGCACTGACCAGTCATACAGCTTTGATCTGACCAGTGCTGGGTGGAGGCCAGCTTCCTTTCCTGTGCCAGGGAGTACTGAGGACTAGGTGAGAGAGGCTGATGCTGTAGGGCCGGAGAACTGAACTCTTATCATGTCTGGCCTCCATGCTTTTGGTCTGATCTGTGGAGTAAATCATTTAATCTCAGAGTCTTTGTTTCCCCATCTTGATCCCTTTATCTTAACTTATTGTGAATCTGTTGTACTAGGCTTGGTACTTAACTAACATCTTGGGGGAAGGGGTTCGGAATGGTCCTGAGAGGACTGGGGAGATGAACTGAAGCCTTCCTGTAGGAAGTTGAAGCCCTGTGACCCTGACACACAGGGTCATCTTAGTTCTTGCTTTATTTTGTATCTCTGCCATGATCTGGGCATGTAGCCATGAAAATGTAGTCCGTATATAACATTAACAGGGTGAGGTATTGACTTCGGGATGATAGTACACGTTTCTCTCCAGATAAGTTGCTATGGGTTAAAGCTATTTCAGCATTTAAGATTGACAGAGGGTGTTTAAGCCCCTATTTGACTTCGATTGGGGCCCAAGTTTCCTGGGAAATCGCTATGGAGGGGGGTACCTGGAGTGACTTGGGGGCTCCAAACTGCTGCACTTCAGCCGCCTGTATCTTCCTGCCTTTCAGGTAGATCCCAAGTTCCTAAGGAACATGCGCTTTGCCAAGAAGCATAACAAGAAGGGCCTGAAGAAGATGCAGGCCAACAATGCCAAGGCCATGAGTGCACGTGCTGAGGCTATCAAGGCCCTTGTAAAGACCAAGACGGTCAGGGCTAACATCCCAAAGGGCAGCAGCCGCAAGCTCAGCCGACTTGCCTACATCGCTCACCCCAAGCTTGGGAAACATGCACGTGCCCGCATCGCCAAGGGTCTCAGGCTTTCGCGGCCAAAGGGCAAGGCTCAAACCCAGGCCAAGGATGCGGCTGCAGCACAGGTCCCCAAAGGAACACAGGCTGCCAAAGGTACCCAGGCCGCCAAAGGTACCCAGGCTGCCAAAGGTGCCCAGGCCCCCGCAAAGCCTTAAGAATAGAGAACACTGTCTGCCCGTGTGAGGACAGAAGGACTGGTGTCACCCCTAGGCTGCTGTCTACAGGGCACTGGTGTCTTCCTGTGCTATTTGTACAAATAAATCTGAAGCAGAACCTATCAGCTCTGTGTCTGATCCCTGGGCTGGGGCTAGGGTTCAGCTGGGGTTCATACCTTCATTTTGTGTGTGGGGAGAATTGAGTTTTCCCTGGGAGGTAGGGTCTGGGTAGGAGAGTGGGCCTTGACGTGCAAGAGGGACCTAGTGAATGAGAAATGGTTGGGTACTATAGAGAATCTGGCACATAGCTTACTGGACTGGGTAGGCTGCTGAGGGAAGAACATCCTCCTTTGGTCTTTGGTCCTTCCTTTCCTGAGGAAAGGAAGGGGGCCCAGCTAAATTCTGTGCTTTGAGATGAGGTATTCTAGACTCAGTCTGTTCTTAGTGTACCTGGCCATCAGCCACTGCTCTTGGTGGTGCTGATCCCCTAAGTGCTAGGGACCCTGGAAGACCAGGCAGTAACTGAAGTCATTTGACCAGGCTACTGTGCCTCCAGGATCAGCTGCTGCCCCTACTTCCTCAGTGAAGCAAGTAGCTAGCATAGTGGTAATAGGCATTTGTGGAGCATTCCTCCTGGTCATACTTTATGGTCCCCCAATCTGACCAGGTGCAGCAGGGCTTCAGTAACATTTCAATGTCAGCTTGAAGTTGCAGTTTTCAAGCATCTACCGAAGATGTCAAGTAAGGACTTCTTTTGTTTCACAGGTAAGCTAGGAAGAGAGCGAAGTAGCCATAGAGCCGGGTAGTCCATATAGGACTCAGGAAGTTTTGCTTGCCCACCCAGGGCTGGGCTGCTAGTTCTTGGGTATGATCCAGGTATGCTTTGGGTTGTCAGTTACTCCTCACTGAGGTGTCAGCTGGGCCACAACCAGGTTTTGTGTCCTGAAATTGGCTTGGCTCAGCCTGAAGTCATCAGGTCAGCTTCCAAACTGTGGGGGACAAGAAAACTCCCTAGTCATCCTACTCCAATTTCAGGGTACCCCAGGTGTCATGCTTCAGCTAGACTTTCAAGGTCCAGCCAGCCAGCCAGCTTGCTGCCTTATGCCTCTAGCTTCCACACAGCCTGTCTTGTGTAAAAAGCACAAGTCCCTCAATCTTCATCACCACCCGGTCTTGGGCAAGCTATTCTGACAGAGCTTTTAAAAGGGTTCATGGTGAAATCTGTATCAAAAGGAAGAGGAAGCTGGCCAAAAGCCTGGCCCCTTGTCTGCTCCATGAACAGAGGTGATTAACACTATCAAGATTAGCCTGCAGGCCACAGAGCCAGGCTCTGCATTTCCTTCTTAACTAGAAGCTAGCCTTCCTGTGCACCACAGGAGGTCAGAACAGAATCAGATCAGATTACCTAGAGGAGCAGGCTCAGCACCCAGGGTCCCTACCTGACTTAGCACTGCAGGGATCTTAGCAGGCCTGACTGAAGCCCAACTAGGTCACTCTAAACACTGACCCGTGATCCCTGGCCAAGGTGCTGGAGACCCAAAGAACTGACCTGGCCAGGGCTCTCAACACCAAAGCGGGGGTCACACTTTTCCTTTTAAACCCTGGGGTTTTTGATTACCTGCTATTCAGGCCTTGCTAGCTATCTGCCTGCCCCACATGTGGCAGGTCTCAGCTGGCCTTCATTCAGTTCAGGTCCTGCCTAAGTGTGCTTAGTGTTCCGCTCAAAGTATATCCCTTGCCTCACAAGTCAAATACAGGCATGGTGGCCACTGAGAACAGAAACTGGCCCCTTGTTTCCAGGGTGTGTCTTGTGGGGGCACACACAGCTGGTACTGGATGGTGTGCTGGGTCAAGTGCCACAGAGTAGCACGGGGTGTTGGGAAGTGCCCAGAGTCGGGCTATTTCCTCATCTGTGAAATGGGGATGATAACGGCATTTCCCTAGAGAAATGAGAATCCCTGTTCCATGAACATCCTCGTGAGTACTTCAGAGGTATCCCCTGTCCACATAGACTTTATTGTTGGACACGGGGAATGAAGGGTCATTGGCACTGGTCAGGGTGGAAGCTCCAGGGGTAGAGGTGGGGAGCATGGCGCTCACTTGTCATTGGGCAAGGCTGGAACGCTGGCCAGGGCAGGCAGCAGCCGTGCGTATATGTCCACCCCACGGAGGAACACAGCCTCATGCAGCCGCTCGTCGTGGTCATGCAGCAGCACAGGTGTGCGGTTCATGGGTGAGAAGCCCAGTGCCGGGACCCCCATCTGCAGGCAGTGAGGAGGAACCATTAGGAGTTGGGCCAGCATCTGGGATCACCCCACTCCCCAACCTGCAAGCGGCTGGCTCACCGCACGGATATAACGGCTGTCCGTTGCAGCAGGGAAGATCTTCGGCTCTAGAGTGAGGTTCCTGCAGAAGGAAGAGCCTGATGAGTGGGGAGAAAAGGAAGAGGGGGGGGGGACTGAAAGCACAAAGGAAGAGAGAGGGAAGGGGAGTGGAGGGCTGGCCAGTGTGCTCACATGTCCTTGCAGACCCCGTTAAATGCTGCCCACCAGGGGTCTGAGTCATCAGTAGATGTCATTTGGGGCTTCGTCCACTTCTGGGGGGAAGGGAAGAATGACAGGGTCAGGACAAGGCCTGGGCATCTTGCTGTGTTTGGGCACAGGGCACACTCCCATCACCCACCTCTCCACCCAGATATCCAGCTGGCCAGGCCAGCCACAGGCTCTCTTTCAGTCCTTCAAAGTTCCCCAGGTCAGGGCCCTTCCCCTGCCTTCCATCTACTAACTATCCTTCAGATCCTAGCCCAAGTGTGCCTTCCTCAAGATAGGTCTCCCAGCTGTCCGGGACTGTTAAATATTCCAATTACAGGTTCTCAGAGAGGAGGTCACACCCTTTACTGGACCATGTGTTCATACTTACATAAAAGTAATGTATAAATATTTGATTGTCTATTCCCCATTCACAATGAAATGAAAGGACTAGGAGAGCAAGAACCGTGACTACACTAGCTCCCTACAGCATGCCCCAGCACCCGGTGGTCACATCTGTAATACTTGGTGGTGTATGAAATGTGTCTCTCAGCTTGAGAAACGCTCAGACATAGACAGGTACACGAGCACACATCTCCTGTGGCATACACTTGGCGAGCCCAGTCTCCTCAGCAATCTCAGTTGACTCCCCGTCAATACCTGAGCAAACTCGAAGGTGACCCCCTCGCCAGCTGCCCGGCACCAGCTATGCAGCTGCTCCTCAAAAGCCTGCAAGGAGGGAGATGAGTTGACTCCTCAGGCTCTCCCTGAGCCTCCAGAACAGGACTGAGAACCGGGGCTCCCTCCTCAAACCCAGAGGGAGGTGGCACCTTCAAGTCCACATCTGGTGCCACACGGAAGTCAAAGCTGGCGCTCATAGTGGCAGGTACCACATTATAGGCCACGCCACCTTCTAGCTTAGTCAGGTTCACGGAGGTCACAGCCCCCTCTGACAGGTGGGGGTTTGACTGCAGCCTGTGGTTGGAGGAAGGGGCGGCAAGGGAAAACAACAGATAAAGAGTAGTTCAGTCTCCCTCTTCTCTTGCCCAGTGTCCAGAGCCCAGCCCCCTCCCAGGATGTCGCACCTCTGCTTCTCCTTCTCTCGGAATGCCAGGATCAAGCTCACGACCTTGTGCTAGGAGAGTATGAGGTTAGATGTGAGTGGCCCAGGATGGAGCGTCTACAATCCCCAGCTCCTCCCCTGCATGCCACGCACCAGCTTCTCTGCTGCAGTGTCCTCGATGAAGCGTGAGCCATGGCCTGGCTTCCCAGTGCTGGTAACCCGCACCCCTGGGAGATGTAGGGGGAAAGAGGATGTCTTCAGCATGGTAGGGGTTGGAAATGTAATCAACTCTGGGGTGGTTCTGGTCTTCCCCTCATTCTAAGCTCCTCTGGCAGGGTTCTTCCAGAATGCACAGTACAGAGCTGGTTTCTGCTCAGCATTAGGGTCTCCCCTCATTAGCTCAGGAAGGCAAATGGGAAAGGCAGTGGGGGCAGAGACTGGGTTCAAGATGCACTCAGGTCCCAACTTGTTATGTGACCCTTGGCAGGACCTGCCCCACTGGCCTAGTCTCCAGCCTGCATGGTAGCCCCTCCCTCTATGTCCATACGCACACCAGGGGCTCCGCTCGCTGTAAAAGACAGTGAAGGCATCAGTGGGGTTGGCCAGACCTGAGGAGGGAAAAAGGGTTCAGAGAATGGGGTGGCCCAGACCCCAACAGCAGCGTCTCCAACCCCTGCCTGCTCCTCTGTGTTTTTCTACCCTGCTCACCCTCATCCAAGGCAAAGCCAGCCCTCAGGGCCTGGAACTCAGGTCGCTGCACAAATAGCTCCATGCCTTGGTGACCCCCAATCTCCTCATCTGTAAAAGCAGCAGGGATATGAGATGAGGGGACCACACATGCCCCTCCCTAAAGGTGCTCCTTCCCAAGCCACTCCTACCTGGCACAAAAGTCATGTGGATAGTTCTGGGGAAATGGTGGCCCTCAGCCTTCAGCCTCCTCACAGCCTCCAGGTATCTGAGGGTCAGTGAGAGGGTGTAAGCCAGGTGCTGGGGGAGCCACCAGATGCCAGAGCAGGCAGGATGGAGCCCTGGGCCATGGACCCTGCCCTGCCACAATCTGGCAGGGGCTCCAGAAAGTCTCTGTCTCTCTCTGGACTTCAGGCTCCTCATCCATGCAATTGTCACAATAGAAAATCCTGCCCAAGGAGGGGGAGGAGGTCATAATGTTCCTTGGGGTTTTGCCTCATTTCATCTGAAAAAGCAACATGGGTCACCAGCAGCTCTATTAGAGCCATCTGAGAAAATCTGGCCAGGGTTTTTGCTCTTGTGATGCTGTTCAAACCAGCATAGTCTGATCCAGAAACAATACGGCTTCAATATGAGCTGCCAGTGTTTCTGCCCGTACTCGAAGGATATAAGCTTCATTAAATTGGACTAAGTGAACTTCCTTCAACAGGTCATTCAAGTTCCCTAGCTTATGGCAGAAACAAAGCTAGCTCTGTACTTAAATACTTGAAAAAAAAAAAAAAATTCTCCAGTCACAACCCAGGTTGTGGGGGATTGGAATTAGAGGACACTCACTGGATGCTGACACACTTCATGTCCTGGGCACCCCTGGCATAGATGTAGCCCTCAGCATCCTTGACGGCCTCAAAGGGGTCATGACTCCAATGTTCCTGTGGACAGGTATGGGAAGAGGAACCCAAGCCCCAAATTTCATCATTAATCTAACTCTGGTCAACTGTGGCCCATCCCTAGGAGCCCACTGTAGGCAGGGGTGACTGGTGGGTGTTAAAGGGGTCAGAAGTGTGCTGAAGAGGTTAACTGATTGCCACCCCTCATCTCTGCCTCCCACCTCAATCCCCATCAGCATTAGGATCTACCCTCAAAGCTCAGGGCATGAAGTAGCTGCTGAGCAAAGGCTGCCCCAGTGGAGTAATACCATATGATGTTGACAGGACCAGCACCGTGGGCTCCCTGAGGTTGAACAGGGGTCTGCATTATCTTTGTCCCTAAGAACTGCACCATTCCCTGACCCCCCCCCCCAAATACCTTGAAGACAGGTACCACATCTGTGTGGGAGTTGAGCAAAAGGGAAGAGAGTCTGGGATTGGTGCCTGGCCAGGTCAGCACAGTCACCACACGGCCAGATGCCACCTGGACAGGGTCAGCAAGTGGGATAGTCAGCACAGGGTGAGGCGGTACCCCGGGCCCACCTCCCCTTGCTACTCAGGCTCACCTCTACTTTCTGACAGCCCAGGCCCAGCTGGTGGGCTCTCTCCTCAAGGAAGGCCACAGCTGCCCCTGGGGGGACAGAGAGTCTTGAAGCTGCTTCTGCCTACCCATGCCTTCCACTGGCCCAGACAGAACAAGGAGGGGTGTACGTCCAAAGAGGGGAACAGACCCCCAAAAGGACAGTTGCCTCCTCAATACAATTCCACACCCCTCAGAGACAATTGCATTTCTGTCTCCAAAAAGATTTTTGGTTAGTGACCCTTAGTGGAAGGCCAGGTGGGAATTTCAGGCTTAGAAGGTGTCATTATCTTCTGTAAAGATGGGACAACTAGGGCCGGGAGAACAGGAGATTGACCTGAGGTGTTCCAGCTGATGAACCACATACCAGGGATCTGGACCCAAGTACACAATTCCCAAAGGGCTGTGGCCTTTGTCCAGTCCGGTAGGAGAATAGAAACTTCTTTCCTTGTGGTTGCCCCAGGCTCCCGTCCTACCTTCCCCCCTCCTCAAGCCCTGACGAGTGAGATGAAATTGATCCCTAACTAGGAGACAGGTACAGCAAAGCCTCCCAGGAACAGGTTGCTCCACAGCCTGGAGGGGATGCTGAGCAGTCTGCTGACTTAGGGAGAGGCTAGAGAAATTGAGGAGTCCGCAGCAGCATGGAGATGACCAGGATTAGAGCTTGGTTTAGAACACAGCCCCCACCCCTTCAGCCCCACCACAGGCCCTGAACGGGCGTGCTCACCATAGTCGGGCTGAGGTTGGACTGTGCGGATGCGCAGGTACTGGCGGAAGAGCGTCACGGATGGGTGCTCTGCTTCGCGACCCTTGCTGGCCATGGCTGCCTCTGGTGAGCTAGGGTCAAAGCGAGTGGCTCGCCTATCTCTTCCAGCTGCTGGGACCAGTGGACTCCACCTGCAAACAGCCCCTCCCCAGGGCAGTTCCCCGGACGTCCCCAGCGAGAGCCCCCTTCTGTTTCTGCTACTGTACTGGCTTTCTTTCTTTCTTTCTTCCCCCAAAGAACCCAATAAAATTCGTGCCTCTGGCTGCCCACTTTACAGGAAAGAAAGTTGAGGTTCAGGAACGGCTAGAGTAGCTTGAGCCAGGTTTGAACCCAGACACTGATTGCCCAATTCGCCCAAACGCCTCAAAAAATTTCTCCTGGGTCTCCCTGCTGGCGCAAGGGGTTAAGACGCAGCACTAAGAAGCTACCCGCAGCCACCGCAGCACGAGTTCGATCCCCGGCCAGGGAACTACTCACATGGCGCAACAGACCTCTCCTGACTCACCCACTGCTCCCCTCAGCAGTGTATTTCAGTCTGCCTGTTCTGTTCCCCACTCTGTCTCTGGTGAATCCTCTCATCTCCGCCCCATCTCTGGCCTGCACCCCAGCTCTTGTATGCATAAATAAAAAAATCTTTAAAAAAAATTTTCAACCAATTGTCCGGATTTCATGCCAGGGAACCCCGGGCCCTCTACCCCTCTGGATCCCCCACCTCGCTCTCTACAGGTCTCGGGCACGCGCTCCCCTCTCAGCGCCAGCCGCGGACTGTGCGGCGGGACCGAGGGTCCCGTGAGGTCGCAGACCCGGAACCGCCCCGATCCGCCCACCACGTGGCCAGGCCCGGATCGCGGGGCGGGGCCGAAGAAGCCGCCCGCCGCCCGCCCCAGGTTCCAGCCTCCGCCAGGATCACCCAGCGCGCGGATCTAGCCACCGCCCCTGGGTAGCCCCTCCCGCCGCCAGCTCCGCCCGCGCCGTCAGGAGCTCCCGCCGGGCCCGCCTTGCCCGTCAGAACGCGCCGCTCCGGGCCGGGGCCGCGAGCTCCGACGGCCCCGCCCACTGTGGGCTCCGCCTCCCGCAGCCTTGCGATTGCCCGAGAAGAGGAGGGCGGGCTCGTCGCGAAAGGTCGCGGCCGCCCCCAGGCTTTGTGAGTAAACCGCTGCAAAATCCTGTCGAGCCAGGCCGGGCCTGCCCCCCCCTCCTCCTCAGAGTCTCCTACTTCTCCCCTTTTCAGGGCTCAGCACCCACGAAGGTCCTCCTTGACTGCCCCATCCCCCAGGTTAATATCTGTTGTCCCGACTGTGAGCTCCAGGTTGGTTCATGTACCTGCAGAATTCTGTTCCTGGTAAGGTGCAGAGCGGATGCCTGGACTACGTGCCACCGTGTGGGCAAATCTGTGTAGCAGTGGGGATGACAGTTCACATACAATACCAGTGTGAGATGATGGTTGGCTGTGACAGCATCTGTGACAGGATGCCGTCAGAACACTAGATGACGGTGTGAGAGGGGGGGAAACAACACGAAGGCATAGATGCGGCACACTCTTGGCTAACCCCACTCCAGGCCCCCAGAGAGGGGGGATAAAGAGGCACAGATGTCCCACTGGCCACCCACAGGCTACCACTTGTGTGCCCAGCTGCCCTTTGTACTGCTAGCCAGTTCTACCCTCTGTTCCAGGAGCTGAGTCAGCTTGAGGAGGGTCAGGGGTTGAAGAGTTCAACCTCTGGGCTCAAAGGAGGGTGGTTGGGAGGGGAGAGGAGAGATCTACCTGGGCCCTCTGAGGTTTAAGTCTGGACTGCTGAACCACGAAGTACCCAGGGGCAAGCAGGCTTGGTGGCTCAGTAACCATGCTATGTCAATTGTTAAATCAGGTCCCCTACCCTCACGCTATACGTCTAGCTCCCTTTGGCCATGGATCCAACATTCCTCACTCAGCTCAGACCTTGATATCCCATTAATCCCAGCGGTCATGCAGCAGTGGTAACACCCTATCCCTCCCACCCAACCCCCAGCCTTGTGTGGCCAAGTACGCCTCATAGCCAGAGTCATTCCATCTCAAACTGCCTTCTGAGGTGGGGGTTACCATCACATTCATTTTATAGATGAGAAAACTGAGGCACAGAGTTGTGAGGGCAGCTGGTTAGGAAGTAGCCCGTGTTCTTAGTCTTTCCAGGCCACTGGAGCATTTCTTCCAGCTCGCAGCCTCGCAGTAGTCACAGACTTGCCTCCCACTCCTTCACCCACCTGCAACACCACCAGGAAACAGGACCCGTCACCACCCAGGCATGACAAAAATGCTTTTTATTTTGCCTGTGAGATGAAATGAGAAGGCCTGGCTCTCTCGTCTCTGCCTTCCAATCCCAGGGGCTGCCTCCCTGGCGTGGGGATCTGGGGAAGACTGGTTGAGACCCTCCAAACTCAGGCCAGGACTGGGACCTGGGCAGTGGGTGAGCTCAAGGCAGGTGGTCAAGGAAGGTAAGGAGGACAAGATGGAAGTCATGCGGCTTGTGGAGGTAGCAGGCGTGACCCGCATCGCGCAGCTTCACCACAGAGTGGTTGGGCAGGTGCCGGAGATACCGCAAGGACTGCATAGCTGGAATGCGGTCCAGTTCGCCATACAGGATGAGAGTCGGGGTCTGCAGGGCAAGGTAAGGAGCTGTGATCCTGGGACCTACGGTGATCGACCCTCTAGTCACCTCCTTAGGAAATCTTTCCCAAGCACCCCATCTCTCCATCCAACGGAGACCTAAGTCCTCTCACCCCATGACTCAAGCCAGGGATGGGAAGCCAGGATCTTCCGGGAACCCTCCTACTGGTACCTTAATGGCCCAGAATTGTTCCTGGCTGTAGTTCTGGGTGTAGACAGGTGCAATGGGCACGAATCCATGCAACTGGTGGTGGCCTCGAATCAGGAAAGGCAGGGCATAGTGGCCACTCAGCGAGGGGCTCACCAGCACAGCATTCTGTACCTCCAGGTCCCGTAACACTTTTTCCAGGAGCTCCACCCTTCCTGCCTCTGTGCTTGCTTCCTTTGATGGAGCTGAGTTCCCAAAACCTGGGAACAGGAGAAGGCACCGATTGAGGAAGGCTGGGCAGCTCAGGACTTCCTGCCCATCACAGTGGGGAAAAGAGGTAGGGAGCTGTGAGTGGCATATGGTACACGCTACCCCAAACTTCCTAGGAGGTATTTTTTTTTTCAATGTGATAGGCCTACTAGAAAAATATCTTTGGGGCCTCCCTGGTGGCGCAGGGGATTAAGACGCAGCACTATGAAGCTATCTGCAGCCACTGCTGCAGGAGTTCAATCCCCAGCCAGGGAGCTATGCACATGGTGCAGCAGACCTCTCCTGCCTCACCCACTGCTCCCCTCAGCAGGGTATTTCAGTCAATCTGCCTGTTCCCCACTCTCAATGGTGAATCCTCTCACTCCCCTGCATCTCTGGCCTGCACCCCAGCTCTTGCATGCATAAATAAATAAATCTTTTTTAAAAAAGAAAAACATCTTTTATTCATTATACTGGAAAACAAACAAACAAACCTGACAATACTCATTGTTGGGGTAGATGCAAGGAAATGAACACTTTCATATATGGTTGATGGGAGGATAAAACCATGTAGCATTTTTGGACCCTAAGGTAATATTTGCAACACTTTTAAAATGTGTGTTCTTTAATCCAACAATTGCCCACAGCTCAAATAAGTACATCCAAAGATGCTTCAGCTATATCCCTTAAGTATTTCAACTGATACTGAAACTATCAATCAACCTACATGTCCACAGGTAGAGGATAGCCAGGTAAAATCTGCCCATCCCTCCAGTGGCACACACTGCAGAGTTGAGGACCCTGAGGGAGGTTCATGCAACTGGCATGATCCAGGAGACATGGTAGAGAGGAAGAAAACCAAGTCGCAGATCAAGTCTCTAAGCAGGCAGGACACTAGTTATGTCTATAACCCTCACCACAATCCTGCATATTGCTTGTATCTCTGCTACAAATAGCTAGAAAAGGACCTGACTCCCCCAAACTACTGAGAGAGGGGAAAAGGAGGGAAATGTGGCCTGAGTCTCTGAGGGAGTCACTGTTTTTGTTTTGTTGTTTTTGTTTTTTTAGTGACAAGAATGGTAGCATAAATCATTTGTGTAGGTAAAAAACCAAAAAGCTACAAAATTTGTTATAAAAAGTACAGTGAGATGCATGCAATTGTTTGTGACGTGAGTCATGTTTCTCTTTGTTTTGTGCAGGCAACAATCCACACTGTGGTTTTCAAGGTAGAAAAAAAAAACAAACCTACAGACCTTTTTGTATTGCCATCTGGTGTGTGACCTGCTGCTGCTTGTCCAGCAATGGAGTCCAGATGCCCCCCAGCCACACTTCAGTGTTTCCTACCCCTCCAACTCCTCCCTCTGGGAGGCTGCCTCCCAGACCCAGGGATGGGGGCTCTCACCTGGGAGGTCAAGGGCCACAGCCCGGTAGCCCCTCTGCGCCAGCAGCTGCAGTGTGCCCAGCTGCTCCCATGTGTAGGAGTTAAAGGCCTTTCCGTGGAGCAGCACAACTTCCACCCTGTGGACAGAGAGGGGAGTCATATGTCTTGGGGATCCTGGGGGCAGCCCACCATTCTTTCTCCCTGGGCTTCTCCCACTGCCTTCCCAGGTCTTGAGTACCCCTGAGTTGACCCAGGATCCCACATAGGGATTCCCCTTGGGTTTCATCCTTCCACTGCACCTGAAGTCAACACCTACCTGCGTGTACGGTGGAGGGGGAGCACCTCGCGGTAAAACATCGGTGAGTTGCCAGGGGTTAGACCAGCCAGGGTTGTGACATTGGGGTCTCCCCAGGGCCAGGAGGTCTGCTCAGGAGGGCCTGGAAGTCCTACGTACAGTAGCAGCATGAGCAGCAGGCCCAAACCCAGGAGGGCTATCTGAAACCAACTCATGGAGGTCTGTACCATAGTCTGAAGGAGAGGAGAGGGAGGACAGGCTGGCACTGAGTCCCACACGGACTCCTGGACCCCATCCCAAGCCCTCCCTGAAGCCCCCATGGAGAAAAATCTCTAGCCCTTGCTCTTTCTCTGCTCTGAATAAGAGTCCAACAACTCCAGGAAAATGGCTCAGATGCCCCACAGCTGGAGGAGCATCTGAGATGTTCCCAGGCCAGCTCAGTGGCCACTATCATCCCATGCCAGCTGATGCCACTTCCCTTTCTTGAGTGCTATGACAGTCATGTACTCGGCCCTTCACATCCAAGGGCTCACGAATACACACCAGGACAATGGGAAGATATGATTATGGGTCTTTTACGCTAGAGAAAACTGAGATTCAGTGAAGTGAATCCTCCTGTCCAAAGAGCAGAGTAATGAGTGTGGAAATGGACTTAAACCCACGGCTGGGTTCCTAACTACCAGGCCAGGCTTATTTTTGCCAAAGAGGAAAACATGGGGTTGGGAAGTGGCAGGTAAATGGGAGCCTTGCTGATGGACAGCGTAGTGAGGGCGTCAAAGATGAAAGACCATGTGTGACGTGATGTCCGACTGGGGGCATGGAATGGTTCTTTTTATACACTGCATAAAACAATGCTGAAGTCAGCATGTGTTTTACAGTTGATGGGAATACTTAATGCTCTACTCCAACTGATACTCAGCAGGAGGGCTCATGGGCAGTATCCGTGATGGAGGAAATGCTGAGGCATGAGAGGATGTCAGAGAGGAGCACACTCCCACCGTTCCCCGTCCCCCTGCCCAAACTTTATGCCAAATGGCCCACTTCATGGACTCCTCCAGTCAGGGTCATCTGCCAGCCCAGAGGACAGACTTCAGGACCCAGGGTTTAGACAAAACAGTTATCCCTGCCTTTGAGAATGGTCTCTGCCACTTCCTGGCAGTGTAGCTTCAGTTTGTCAATAATATGTGGGAGGATAACCTTCTGGCTGTCCTCCCAAGCCTTACATTGAATTTGACCTGGGGCTGTTGTCATCATTTAATTGTTTCTAGGGTAAGCCTGACTGCTTTGTTCCCAGATTCTACTGCACACATCTCTGTTGAGTGCCAACTGCACCCTGGAAGAAGTTAGGAGCTGGGGACCGATCTGGAGCCCCACCTACCTCTCCAGCTAGCTTTGGGGATATTTCCCTAGATCCCTCCCCCATGCTCTGGGGTCAGGTGGTGAGTGGCAGCACCAGAAGCTGAATGGAGGAAGAACGTGCTCCTCCAGTCTTTCTGACCAGGAACAGCTTCAGACCGCTTGGCGTTTGCCTAAGTCCCTATCCAGGAGGACCTCTTCGCTGTGCCTCTGCTTGCTGTGGGCCTGCGAAGCCGGGAGGTTGGGGAGGGGGGCGGAGAGGGGTGGGGCTTCGGCCGTTGTCCTGGCAACTCAGGCAGCTGGGGTCCAAGACAACGGTAGAGGGCAGACAGCCAGCAGTCTTGTCTACACCACAAGGATGCGTGAGGGGAGCTGTACCCGCATGAGGTCCTTGGCATACGGGTCGACCACGAGACAGACGAACACACAAACATTAAGTCTTGCCCTCACACTTTCCTTTTGCATTAAGTTATTCCCTGCATGCAAGCCTCCTTGTACACGCACTGGCCTATGCCCAATCAATCCCTTCAACACACACCCTGAATATCAGCACACAGCCAGACATTAGGAAGGCAGACCGACACACACACTCGCCCCTAAAATCAAATGCAGTACCTCAAATTTCAAGCATACAGTCATACTCACAACCTTGAAGCTACACACGCACACAAGAAACACGCAGAGGCAGGCAAACGGGCACACAGAGAAACCCTCAAGAACACCCCACAGAGACACTCAGGTCGACACACACCCTCAGAACCTCGCAGGGAAACACAGAGCAGAGACAGGCCAGCCGGCAGGCCGACTGACACACCCCCTGGCATAAGAACTCAGAGAGACACTCATCACACCGACAGGCCGATCACACCAAGAACACCAGCAAACACTTGCGCGCGCCGCACACACACCAGCACCCCCGCCGCGCCCGCGCCCGCGCCTCCCACAGGACTGTGCCCGGGGCGCTGGGGCGCGGGGCGGGGCGAGGGCGGCCCGCCCCTGCACGCCCGGCCGGCCTCCCCCGGCGGGGACACTCACCGGGATGACCGCGCCGGCCCCCGCGGGGCGGGCCCGGCCCCAGCGGAACCAGCAGCCAAAGAGCGCGGCGACCATGACGCTGCCTCGGCCGCTCCGCGGGCGGCCCCGGCCGGGACGCGAGGGCGCCGCCACCAGGCGCGCTTGCGCAGTCCGCAGGCGCAGGCCCAACGCCTTGGAGCCCGGGCGGGGGGGTCGGGGGGGCGGCGCCCTAAAGCACGCGGGCCTGCCCCCGCCGTCCAGGTTTCCCGGATTGCTCGCGGCCTGGCAATGGCAGGGAGGCGGACTTGGCTGCTTCCCACCCGCCCGTCTTCCTCCTGTCTCAAGTTCTCTGGATGTGCGAGGGGGTTGACGGGACTCATCACACGGGGTTGTCTTCATGACTGACGGCTCGCCAAGCCTCAGAACAGCCTGGCGCGGGGGCCCGGCAGTGTCAACACAGATCTTGTTAAACAGCAGCCCCAGGTCTCCGCCCAAACAGTTCCCTGACCCCTAGCAGGCAGCGCGCGGCGTGGAGCGTTAGGCCAGAGCTCGGGATGGCCTCTGGCAAGGCTTCCCTTCTCCTTATGGCTCCTGTCCTGGTGGGCGATGTGTGACCAACGTCTGGTCTGCCCCTAAGCTCGGAGATCTGCGAGGCCATCAGGCCTGCCACAGGGAGGCAGCCTGGAGTGCGGCAGACTCGCTGCTTCTTACCGTCCTGCACGAGGCGAGCCGTGTCATCCATTCCATAGACAGGAGATGTTAGCGAGAAGATCAAGGCCAACTGGCTGGTCATTGTCTGAGCCTTGCATTCAGGCTTGCGGGGTCTCACCTACAAGCTAGGCGCTCAACTCTGCCGGGCAGTCTTAGCCTGGCATGAGAGGGTGGGAGAGGATGGTGCAGGGAGCAGCAGGGATGCAACTCCAGAGGAACCCTTTTCCTCGAGATGCATCATGCGCAGGTAGAGCAGGTTGCTGAACGCCTCCGGGCCGCACCCAGCCCAGTGCGGGGCATGGGGCACCAGGGCCCGAGGGGTTTGGGGAGCCCGAGAACGCTGTGACAAGAAAGATGGGTCTAGGGGAGCAGAGCGACCCGGCGACCACTGGTGGCCACAAGACGGCGCCCCGGAGCACGGGCCCGCCCCCGGCCTCCGCCCAGCCACAGTCCCGGGCGCCCCGTCCCGCCCCGGGCTCCCTCCACAGTCAGCACTCTGCGTCCTATCTGAGCGGGCCCACGCAGCTCCCCAGGTACCCGCCCTGCGCCCCGACCCTCTTCCTCTCTCCAGCTAGAGCCAGCCCCCACTGCTCCTAGTCTCTCCCCTTTCCAACTCTGTTCCCCAGGTCCCCTCCCTCGCTCTATGCACCGCCCCCGCACCCCGGCCTCTCTGCGCCCTACTCAGCCCAGCGAGGCCCGGAGCCCAGGTCCGCGAAGGGTCGGAGCCAGGCGTGGCGCGCGGGCTGTCGCCGTCTGGGCCCCCGCGGACCCCGAGCCGAGCACCCCGCGTGCATTCTTTGCGGGCCTGAACTCCACAGCCTTTCTCCGCTCTGCGTTCGGGTTTCAGCCTCCGGAAAATGGGCATTTTACTCCAATTCCGATTCCTTCCGGGCTGAGGTGCCGTCCCAGGACCTGCAGTAGTGCCTTGAAAAGGACGAGGTTGATAAGCAAAATAGCTACTTACTGTCGATTGAGCATTTACTGTTTACTGAGCGGTCAGGCGCGAGTGTTTTACACGCGTGACTTCATTTAATCCTATCAGCCACCTGTGCGTTCAGTGCTATTTTATTATGCCCAGTTGCTGAAAAGGATGTTAACAATGAGAACAATAATCATAAAGGGAGCGCCACGTATTGCGTTCTCTTTTTTTAAAAAAAAAAATTTATACAAGAACTGGGGTACAGTCAGGGGCGGGGGAGGGTGAGAGGATTCACCAGAGATAAAGCCGGGACCAGAACAGGCAGATGGACCAGACACTGCTGAGGGGAGCAGCGGGGAGGCAGGAGAGGTCTACCGTGCCATGTGGGTATCTCCCTCGACGGTTAGGAATCGACGGCTGGGAATTGAACCCGCGCTGCAGAGGCTGCGGACATCTTCACAATGCCGCGCTCAACCCGCTGCACCACTGGGGAACCCCATATTGCATTCTTAACAAAAGCAGGCACCCTCACTTGTCAACTCCTTTTTCTTCTAAACTTAATAATTTTTGAAATAGGCTTGACTGTACCATATTAGAGTTCAAGGTCACACAATTAAGTGAAAGGCAGAGGTAGAAACAGCACCTATGTCTACGTCACTCCAAAGCATGTTCTAGAGATCTGGGAGTGTCCTGGAGGCCTCCTTACTATGCCCTCCCGCCCTTGGCAATCTTTCTGCTCTACCTGGGCGGGGTGTTCTGTGGCTCCTCATCAGCCTGGCCTTGAACCACAGGTACTTCATCCATACAGCAGCAGGTATGGCGGCCGTGGAGCAGCAGGAGGGCACCATCCAGGTCCAGGGCCAGAATATCTTCTTCCGAGAGGCTTGGCCAGGCAGTGGACAGGCTGCCCGTTTCTCTGTGTTGCTGTTGCACGGCATCCGCTTTTCCTCTGAGACCTGGCAAAACCTGGGCACACTGCAGAAGCTTGCCCAGGCTGGCTACCGGGCTGTGGCCATCGACCTGCCAGGTAATTCCAGGGCAGACTTTTGGTCAGGGGTCATGGGGCCTCCCTGGGGACCAGGGCTAGGGGCTGGGCGACTGGGAGGACCTAACAAGGCTGGGCCCTGAGCTTGACAGGGCCCAGTGGATACTGCAAGGGCCTTTAAGCGTCTCTAGTCTTGATGTGGATCAAGCTGGACACTGCCCAGCTGCTTCTAATTGTTCCTTGGGGCAGCGTCTCAGTGTCTCATCGGTAATGGGACATAACCACATTCATTTTGGGGGGTTGACGCTAGTGAGAATGGAATGAGATTACCCATGTGAGTATGTGACCAGCACCTGATATCTAATAATTGCTCTGTCAATTGCAAGTAAACTACATTGACAGAGCCACAACTACAGGCTCTGTTGGAAGCCCCTTGGAGTGAGACTGAATCTCCTGACACCTTTGGATGCAGGGTAGGGCCCGGTGGCCGGCTAAGCTCCCAGTCATGATCCCACATTTAAAGCCCTCAGCTAGGTTCTGGAGGTGGGGCAGCCCCCAGACTGCCAGTCAGAACCTGGACCAGCAGGTGCCAACTATGGAAGGAGTAGCACCACTCACCTGCTCCCCTAATTGGCCATGGTGGGTATGATTTCAGTGCCCAAGGGCGGGCCTCCAGGCCAGGCCAGGATTGGTTCTGAGAGTGGGTTGGACTAAAGATCTTGAGCTAATCTTGCTGGGGAAGGCGGGGACTGACTAATTGGAGGGGGAGGTATGTGTGCAGAGCCTGTCTCTCAGTCACTGTCCTCAAGACACCCGCCTCACACTAACCCTGGTGCCTCTTAAACAGTTAACTGAATTTTCACAACAGTCTTAGTTGGCAGGTTCTTTGTAATCTTCTTTTAGCAGATGGGGAAATTGAGCTGCTGAGTGTGGGCTGAGGGGGCACATACAAAATATCTACTTATGTGACCAAGGTCAAATAGAGAGTAAATGGAGAATGGGACTTGGCCCCAGCATGTTGGACTTCAGAGCCTGCTTCTGGTTAGGACACTGCATGGCTGGGAGAGATGGGCCATGCAGAAATGCCTCACGCTTGCCACAGATATGACAGCTCTAGGCTGTTGTAAGAATAAAGTCAGACACGCTAGGTGTGTTGCAGGAAACTGACATAGTGAGATGGACCTCCAGGAGGGCTTCCTGGAGGAAGGAATCCCCTCTCCCCTGTTTTCCTACTCACTTGTACCTGTTTTGTCTCTCTAATACCTGAACCCCTGCAGGTCTGGGGCACTCTAAGGAAGCAACAGCACCTGCCCCTATAGGCGAGCTGGCCCCCAGCAGCTTCCTGGCAGCTGTGGTGGATGCCTTGAAACTGGGTCCTCCAGTGGTGATCAGCCCGTCACTGAGTGGCATGTACTCCCTGCCCTTCCTCACTGCTCCTGGCTCCCAGCTACGGGGCTATGTACCGGTGGCCCCCATCTGCACTGACAAAATCAGTGCTGCCGACTACGCAAATGTGAAGGTACCTGTGTGGGGGGCGCTGAGATGCTCCTGCAGGGAGCAAGGAAGGGCCCCTCCTGGGGCCTCTCCTCATCCAAGGGTGTGGTCACCAAGGGGTGGTTTCTGGGAGGAGCTGAAGTACTACATTCCACCATTTCGGTTTACTTAGCAGCCAATCCCTGTGCTAAACTGCATGCTGGGCAGACACTAATCCATGTCTCTGTCTCTTAGGAGCTGGGGCCCTGCTCCCCCCAACCAGCTTGTCTGACTTGTCACTCCTCATTTGGTGTGACCCCAGACAGAAACTAGAGATTATGGGGAAGGCTGGAGTTGACCTCTGGGAGGCTGGGGATGGTGTGGCAGGTCCCTGACTCTGCCTTCTTTTCCTTTCTCAGACCTCTGCTCTTATCGTGTATGGGGACCAGGACTCCATGGGTCACAGCAGCTTTGAGCACCTAAAGCAGCTGCCCAACCACAGGGTGTTGGTCATGGAGGGGGCGAGTCACCCGTGTTACCTTGACAAACCCGAGGAGTGGCATACAGGGCTGCTGGATTTCCTGCAGGGCCTAGCATGAGGGCTCCCCTCCCTCCCTCCTCTTCCCCTTCTCTCCTTCATGGGCTCCTGCTCATCATGCACACACAGCAGGTGTGTCTGTGTTCTGGGGGGGGGGGGGGCTATTGTCTCTTCCTCTTTCTCTTGCAGTGACAAACTGAGGAGGTGAAATCAAGACCAAAAAACTTCAGGAATCAAGGGACGTAAATGGTGGAGGGTAATCTGTTAGATAAATTTCTCTTACAGCTTTCCTATTCCTGGCATACCTTCCTCTGCGGGCTACTATCCTCTCCCTACCTTCCACTTCCTTTGGCTGCCTTGCAGGGCAGTCACGCCCTCTACACTGGCCTCTTAGACCACAGATACATACAGGCCCACATTCATGCTTACACATTTAAAGCCATCTGTGTTCCCAAACATGACCTTTCACAAGGGAGCAGCCACACAGGTGTATGCAGCTCTGGACTGACATGCAGTCTCGTCTTACACGGCATTTCATGCACACATACACATGCGTGCTTGTGCCTCCAGTCAAGCACATACACAGGCATATGTGCCTTTCCAACCATGAGGCACCCCACTCTCTGGGAAGATGGGGGCCCCATACACTATCCCTTGCAGGGCACCCTCTTCCAGATCGTGGGTGTGCTCAGCCCTGAATTCAATTGACATGTAGTGAAAGGTCCATGCAGCAGGCCGGAATGCAAAAGCCTACCCGGAAGCCCACCTGGGGGGCAGGAATGCGGATACCTGCCTGGAGGACTCAGACAATGAGCCTCCCCCCTCCCCCTACGAGTCTCATCTCAGAAAAAGAACCTCTACCTGCCCTACAAACTTTTCCCGCCGTACGAGCCCAACTACCCACCTGACCTCTCCCCACCCTATAAAACCCTGCTTCCCCCTAACAACGTGCGCGACTCCACTGACCCCCGCCTTGGGTCTGTGAGGTCCTCCCGGGGCGCAATAAAGTTTCCCTCCCTTTGAGAAATGTAGCCTGGCTCTCCTTGTCTTTACCGCGCCGAACCTTTCATCTAGTTTGCAGCTGGTCCCAAAGCAGAATTGGCCCCCCCCGAAAGGAGAGGTACACCCCTGGCCCCGCAGATCTCCCTGATTCCCGCTCCTTCCTGGGCACTACAACTTTCCAGGGTCTTCTCAGCCAAGCTTGTCTCCAGCTCTGAGGTTTGAGGGGGTTGGGGAGCCAGAGTAGAGGTTGGTGAAATAAAGTGATGCAATTAGACCCTGCAGGCTCTAGCGTCTCTAGAGCGCCGCCCCTCCCCCACCCCTAGGGACCGCCACTGCGTGCCCCTCCCCCACCCTGGCAGGACCATATGGTCCCCCTGCCCTTTGTCCACCAGGCCAGATGGATGGGAAGGGAAATTGGATTCCCTTCCCCACCCCCACACTCCCAGGTGCCAAGAGACTCGGTTGGGGTGGTGAGGGGGGGCGGTGGAGGTCAGTGGGACCCGGCTGAGCCGATTAGGGAGAGGGGGAGATAGATTTGCTCCCCGGTGGGAGGTGATGGGGTGCGCTGGGAGAGAGAGACTTGGGAAGTGCATAACTCCTCCCCCTACTTTTTACCTGTTCCCTAGCAGAGTACTCAACTCGTGGCCCTGGGGACCCGAGCCCCCCAAAGAATTCCGGGGGTAGCTTAGGGGAATCGCGGGGCGGGAGCACTAGGGTCACAGCGCTCTCCAGCCCCTCCTCCAGTTGGCCCCGCAACCTGTCCCAGGTGGACACGGGCCGGGCCCTGCGAAAGCTGCGGGTGGCTGAGGGTGTGAAAACAAGGGGCGTTGGCGGGGGAGAGTCCGGGTCGGGGAACCGACGGCGCAGAAGCAAGGAGAGCGGGGAATGCGGCCCCGCAAAGGGTCGAAGCCCGAGCTCCGAGGGTCCCGACACAGGAGCGAGGGGCAGCGGGGCAGCGCGGGGGCTGGCGGCCGGGCGGAGGCCGGAGTGGGGGTGCGGGGACTCGGCGGAGGCACGGGGCTGGCGGCCGGCCGGAGGAACTGGCCGGCGGGGAGCGGAGGGGCTCGGAGCCGGGCGCGGCGCGGGCGACGCGGGGAGGATCGCGGCTGGGACCGCGCCTCAGGCCGGAACCCCCGCTCGCCCCCGACTCCCAGGACCTGGGGGAGCTGCCAGGGGAGGGTCGCCCGGCCCTCCCGGAAGCGGCCGCCGCTCGGGGCGCTCCGCGGCGCGCGGGGCGGGGCGGGCGGCTGCGGCACTGGGGCGCTGGGGCGGGCCCGCCGCGCTGTAATCGGATCCGGGGAGGGGGCGGGGAGGGGCCGGGCCGGGCTGGCCGGGGTGGGGGGGTGCGGAGCCGGGCTCCGGGCCGGCCGGGCTCCGCGCCTGTCAAACCCCTCATTGTTCGCAGCTGATGTCACTCGCAGTTGTGAGCGGCCGCCTCTCCCGGGGACAATGTGGGACTGAGCGGCCCAACCGCCGCGCCGCGCCGCCGCCGCAGGACAGCTCCAGAGAGGTAGGGCGCGGGCCGGGCGGGGCACCCCGCCGCGAAGTTTGGGGGTTCGGCCGGGGGCGGGGAACCCGCGCCTGAATCCACAGGCCAGGATCCCGGGTTTTCGGGACTGGGAGACTGCGAGGAACACGTTCAGCGCTCCACATGGGCCTAGGCCTGCACAGGTGGGGGGCGCTGGTCGTCAGAGGAGCCCCCAGTACTGGAGAGCGGCTTCCAGGAGACCTGAGACCCCAGATTTGAGGTCCTCATCCCATCTGCTGTTTCTGTCCATTGGACCTGCTCTTCTCTCCATCTCCTGACCTGGGTGCTGGGTCTGCCCCATCCCTGTCTCCATCTGCCATTCTCATGCAGTTCCTGGCCCAGTACACACCCCTTCCCATTCTCTGCAGTCTTTGGGGGTAGGGAGGGGGGTCAGACCAGACCTCCAGGGAGGAGTATGTGGAGATGCTAGTTGGGGGCTCAAAAGTGGTCCTTCCTGCCCTGTGACTCTTCAGCCCCTCAGCACTGACTTAATTTCCTAGCTGGTACTGGGGTCCTGGTTGGGGGCGGGGGGTGGCGCTCAGGCTACACACTTTAGCCTGGCCCTCCAGACTGCCTGGCCATGAGAGGGAGGTGCCCGCCTCTTCACTCCCCTATCCCAGGCCCGCCATCTTGAGACCTGTGGCACCCAGTGCCCCACCCGGCCCCAGCATCCTGGGAGTGGTCTGCAAGGGGATGCACCCAGGGTCAGTTGCATTGTCTCCTCCCAGAATATAGGCTCTTGTTCCCACCAAGCCCAGGATGATCACCTGGTGGGACCAACAGGGCATGTGTCCCAGGGGCTTCCTTCCTCCACAAAGAGATCTTAGACCCTCAGGAGCTTAAACCTCAGCTCTGGCCCTCACTGTTTCCTGGGGTTACCCTCATTGTCTCAGAGCCAACACCTGGAACTCTACCCTTTTCCTATCTGAAGGTCTCTAGTCCCTTCTAGCCCTGGAACCCCCTCAACCTCCAAGGCACCCCCATCCCTGCCCCCAACCCCCAGTCTTCATCAGCATGCAGCCTCAGGCTGCCCAAACACAAGGGGATTGTTCTTCTTGCATGCTCAGGGTGGGGGGCTGGGAGCGGGCGGCCCACACACCCTGGCAGGCCCAGGCCAGAGGGAGGCTGGTTTGCCCCGCCCTATGTCCCCAGATAGGCTGTGTCCACCCTCCCTGCGCCCATCGCTGCCTCCCCTCTAGCCTCCATCACATTTGCCCAGTGGTACTGACCTCTTGAGGAAGGATCTCTGAGTCATACAGGTAGACTCCTGGGTCCTCCTAGCTCTTCCAGTTGCCTCTCATAGGACCTTACAAACAATTCCCTTCCTCTCTGGGCCTTCGATTCCTCTCTTGATTGGTGAGTCCCTTCCAGAGGTGACAGGTTGAGCCCAACTTGGCAAAACCTATGCCATACTCCAGTTCTTCTAGAACCCCTGCCCCATGGAGAAACCCACTCTGGCTCCCCAGACATCTCAAGACGTAGTGTAAATCCCCCATCCTAGTGATGGGCTCAGGGAGCCCCTAGTCCCAGAGAAACAACTGGAGCAGGGGATGGAGTGCTGAGAAAAAAACTAAGCATCCCATGTAAGTAGATCCATGCTCTGGGTTCTCTCACCCCACCCCCACTGTACCTCAGGGACCCTTAGCCTCAGCTCTGGCCCCTAATGCATCCAGGCTCTGTGGGTCCTGTCTTCTTCCTGCACACTGAGTTTGGTCTTGTCTCCTGTTCACCTGAAGCTCTCTGTATAGTAGAAAGACAGGCTCAGGGTCTCCCTGGTGGCCTAGGGGTTAGTCCCAGCACTATCATCACCACAGCCTGAGTTCAATCCCAGGCCAGGGAGCTGACCCACTTGGTGCAGCAGATCTCTCCCGACTCGCCCACTGCTCCCCTCAGCAGTGTATTTCAGTAAATCTGCTTGTTCTGCTCCCCACTCTGTCTCTGGTGAATCGTCTCACTCCCCGCACCTCTGGCCTACACTCCAGTTCTTCCGTACAAAAATTTAAAAAAAAAAAAGAGCAGCTCAGAAATTCCCCATGGGGGCTTCTTTAAGTTGCAGGCACATAGGCCTGAGTGACTACATCTGAATTGAAAGGTTGGAGATGGTTTCACCAGGAGGTGGTATTTGAGAAGGATTTTGACAGAGAGTGGGGAGGATGGGCATTTCAATCTCGGATCAGCCTGGGCAAAGGCCCAGAGGCCTGGAGGTGCTAGGCATGTTTTGCAGCTTGATGTGTGTGGGGGTGGGGGTGGAGATGAGACAAGAGAAGTTGGCAAGAGCCAGATCATGAAGGACCTTGAGTGCCTGTCTATGGAGATCAGGATTTATTTCTTGGGCACTGGGGAGCCAAGGATGGCTGTTGAGCAGCGGAGTGACCTAGTCGCCAGCATGAAGAATGGAAGCTAGACAGATCTTTCTCAGTTGGGTGAGACAGTGAGATGCTGGGTACCAGTGGGTGGGGCTGTGCGCTTTCTCTTGCACCTGAGCCTGTTTCAGTTTCCCTTGGTCTGAAGCCTCCTTGGGTAGGCTGTATGTAGCATTTCTAGCACCCAGAGCTTCCTTTTGCCACCAGGCACCGAGTCCACAGATAATCCTGGTCAAGGTCTAGAACTTGAGGACCCCAGGCTATACGTCCTTCTGTCCTTCCCCCCTCCAGCCAACTCTCCCAAGAACTGGGTATGAATGACCATTCTAGGAGACTGTACGGCTGAGAAGCTGGGGGTATGGGTGCATGTATCTGAAAATGCTGTGCAGTTCTTGTGGAGGCCTGGTTAATCAGGGAGGGTGAGCATGCCCAGAGAAGGGGTCAGGGGAGTCAGGATCCCTCAATGCTGGCCACCCCCCAGACCCACTGTCCACCTCCCTGCCACGCCCTGCCTCGCCTGATGCCCTGAGCTATTCCCCAGCATCACTGGGTGTGGCCAGCATGGCTGCTGTGGAGCAGGAGTGGAAGGAGGCTGCTTAATGGGGGATTGGAGATGCTAAGAGGAATGTTGAGAGAAGTGAGGTGGGGGATGAACTTTGGAGGTTGAAGCTACTCTACTTCCTTGTCCAGGTGGGTCATAAGCCTTAGCTGGTCCAGACACTCTGGCCTGCCGAGGGAATCCCCCAAGGGGCGGGTTAGTTCACTTGAATTGCCTGGCCCCAGAGCCCTCCCCTCTCCGGATTGTTCTTGCTCCAGAACAAAGCCAGGGTGGACACTTGATCCCTGCATGTGTGGGGCGGTGGGGGGGGGGTAGCTGGCTAAGCCCCCGGCCCTTTGATTGGGCAGCTGTCATGAGAGAGAGACAGCTGGGGGGGAGGGGCAGGAAGGGGCAGCTACCATCGCTTACACAGCTGTCACCCCCCCCTCCGCCCCCTTCAGCCTGAGTGGCAAGAAGCCAGGGACAGAAGGAGTGGGCACTGCATCTGGGGAGGGGAGCTGGGGAGCAGGAGGGAACGTTCGAGGTCAGAGGCCTGGTCTGAGCTTGGTATGTTCTGCCAGGGAGCCCTGCTGACCAGACGGGGCTGGGCACCCCCAGAGGTGAGCTGGAGGTCAGTGTGGTATGTCTCATTACTGCCGTGTGGGCAGCCCAGCAGGGACTCAGGACCCACCAGGCTGGGGCAGCAAATGACTCTCCAGAGCCCTAGTGAAGGCTAATAAGGCTGCTTATTCTCAGGACAACTTAGGTGAATAATTTGGGATATGTGTCAGCACCCCTTGATTCCACCTAAAGATAGCAGAGACCTTGAGGATCCCTCAGAACAGGAAGGACACAAAGGACATCTCTCCCCCCTCCCCTGCACACAGTCATAGAACAGGTGGGTAAACTGAGGTCCAAGTCATGTGAGTGCCTAAGGTGACCCACTGAATTTGGGGGAGTGGGGCTTTGCTGCAGACCTAGGTATCTTTGTCAGGGCAGGAGCCCTAGTTCTGGCCACATTCCAGTCCTTCTGCCCTATTTTTCCTGGAGCTTTATACTTATAAGAAGTGATGTGGAAATGGTATGGGAACAATATCAGGTCTCCCAATAGTTAACACCACAAAGGTCCGTGAGCCCCCCAAAATTCTGGAGCTTAAGACCATGGCTCTGGACAAGCTGTCTGCTAGCCAGGCAAAGGTCTCAGAAATGACTAAAGCCTGGTCCTCACCTTTGAAGATCCCCCACTCTAGGAAAAGGACTGACAGGCCCAGGAGCAGCAGGAAAGGGGAGGCAGATTGGGGCTATGACAGAGAGCCCCAAGCTAGCAGGCAGGACCCAGCTAGTGCCACCGAGCCCCACCTCTCTGTGACCTTGGGCAGGTTACAGACCCTCTCAAGGCATCAGGTTCCCCTTTAGTAAATTGAACTGTTCCGCTAACCAGTGTGTTCCAAGCACCTTCTCTGGCTTGGCTTGGGATGGCGCGCCAGGGACACAAGGAGAAGGAGGCTGCCTTGGCTCCTGCTCTAAGGGGCTCCTGGGCTTGGCTGTCCAGGGAGACAGAAACCAAGCACGTCATCACAAGTGCTTTGATGGGGGAAGTGCAGGCAGCTGGGGGAATGTTATTTGCAAGGGCAGCCAGCGTGAGACTGGCCAGGATGTTGAGAGAGCACAGTGCATCCACCGTCAACCTCTGACCTCTGGAGGTTCTATGGACAGAACTTGAATAGAGGAGCAGGTGCCTGGGTTGGCAACAATTTTCAGGTGCTTGGAAGGGAGACAGGGTTGTCACCTCCATTATATAAGATGAAGAAACAGAACCTCATGCCACAGTGGCTTGCTCAGGTTTCCTGAGCAAGAAGCAGACTGCGACACACCCCCTTCCCACTCCATGCCCAAGTCTAATTCGCCAGGGGCTTCAGAAGAGGGCACTGGATAGAGCTCCATGCCCTTGATCCTTATGTGAGGATACAGCAGGGGGCTGAGGAGGAAGGTGCCCAGAGGTTTCTAGAGTGCTCTGGGCCCAGAACACTCATCCTTCACTCCCACACCCTGCGGGCAGGAGGAATTTGCAGGGTTAGGACTCAATCTTGGCTCAGACTTGGCACCAGCTTTCTGGTCCCCCAGTGAGCTCCTCATCAAGGCTGAGCCTTGGTGGCTGACAGCCTTTGGAGGAGAGGGATTTCCACGCAGGATTAAGGTTCAGGATTAAGTAGGGGCATGAAATAGGGTCGGGTGGGGAGGGGTGGGGAGGGCTGGCTGCTGGGCTAATCCTAGCAGCTAATCTCTGGCTCCTCCTTCCTTCATCAGTTAAACGCCTTGACATTCCCCAGCCCCCCAAATTCCTTTCTTACCCATCACCCGGTCCCAGAGGGAAGTATTTTCTCTATTTTATGGGTAAAGAAATTGAGACTCAGAGCCCAAATGACTTGTTTCTGGTACAGTAGAAAGTGCCCCAGGCTGGGAATGTGGCCAGTCTGGACACTTCTTACCTCCTCAGCACTTAGGAGCCGGCTGGGAACACCATTATGCAGACTGTGATCCCCTGACACCCGTTCCCTACGCTGTAATGCCGAGTGATTCCTGCTTGGAGCTGTCTGCAGGGAGCTTTGACTCCAGTGACCTTTAGTGCCTCTAGAGGTGGGGTGCCCAGACCACCCCCAAAAGCCTTTGCCAGGCAGAGGGAAGCAGGAGCAAGAGGGCCCCTTCTAGAGCCTCACCATCCTCACTTCTTTCCTCCTTTCGACACCCGCCCCCCCCCACCCCCGGGCTGCTGTATCTTTCTCTCTAGTCAGTGGGGCTTTGGCCCCTGGACACAAGTGACTCTTGTTTGAAGTAACCTTTCAACCTTAACTAAACCTTCAAGGCCCCCATTTTTAAGAGGTGAGAGAGGGGTCTCCTCCTCTTTGGATTTCCTTAGGCCACTGCAGCACGAGTTCGATCCCTGGCCAGGGAGTACCCACATGGTGCAGCAGACCTCCCCTAGTTAATTCTACTAATATGGGGGGAAGGGAAGAATACTCGTGGAGATTGGGTTCCCCCTCACATATGCGCTTCTCTCATTTTAATACTCGTAACTCTATAGGGTTTGGAACTTGTGTCCCCTTCTCACACATGGAGAAGCTGAGCATCAGCTGGGTTAAATGAGCTGCCCGGGGTCACGCAGCTCGAGAGCCGCACACAAGCAGGCTGGCTAGCAGGGCATTTGAAGCTTGGGCTCCACTCTGTCTGCCTTTTCTGAGGGTTTGGCCAGCCCAGCTCTGGGGGCCCCACATCAGGGCAGGGAACACAAAAGAGAGCTGGGTTCCTTCCTAACCCCTTTCCCGCCACCCCACCAGGGCCAGCCAGGCTGCAGTGTGGACACACTCCCAGGCCGCTGTGGCCCCAGCCCCGCCTGACAGGATGAGCGGCTCAGATGCGGGGCTGGAGGAGGAGCCAGAGCTCAGCATCACCCTCACGCTGCGGATGCTGATGCATGGGAAGGTGCGTGGTGGGGTGGGGGGTGGGGTTCCCCTGTGGCTTGGGAGGGGGCAGAGGGCAAGGTGAGGTAAGGCCTGGCCAGCTTGAATTTGATCTCAGGTGGAGCCTCCAGCTTGGCTGAGGGGATCCCTGCACATGGAATATTGGCACCCCCTGACTTTACTCTTATCTTGCTTGCAGGAGGTGGGCAGCATAATTGGGAAGGTAGGTGCCCAGTTTTGTCCTGTGTGTCCCCTTAACCTGAGGCCAGGAGAGGAGACAATGGCTGCTCAAGCTAAAAGTGATTCTATTTTGTCTCCCACAGAAAGGAGAGACTGTAAAGCGAATCCGGGAGCAGGTGAGGATGGAGTTTGGGGGAGGAATCCAGGACACCTGATTTGCAGGGTAGCGGAGGAGATCCCTGCCCCATCTTCTCTCTGAACCCGTCTGAGTGCCCCAGAGGGAGGTGCTCTCCTGCCTTGGCTCGGGTCTGGTGAGTGGGTGGGCAGACAGGCTCCTGGTGAGGAAGCAGAGCCCTAGCCCCGCTGCCCAGCTCTTGTCCTGTGCTCACAGAGCAGTGCCCGGATCACCATCTCTGAGGGCTCCTGCCCCGAGCGCATCACCACCATCACTGGGTCAACGGCAGCCGTCTTCCACGCGGTCTCCATGATCGCCTTCAAGTTGGACGAGGTCTGTGCTGGCCCCGGGTGGGGGAGACCAAGGGAGGTTCTTGGGAGGAACAGGCCTCTGGGTTGGGGGGAGGCCAAGCCCAGGCAGTGTTCTCTTTTTGAAGTGGGACTTGGGGCAGGGTTCCCCCTTCATCCCTTATCAGAAAGGGGGAGCAGCAGGGATGCGCATAGCCAACTCACAGTTTTCTTGCCCAGGACCTTTGTGCCGCGCCTGCAAATGGCGGGAATGTCTCCAGGCCTCCAGTGACCCTGCGCCTGGTTATCCCTGCCAGCCAGTGTGGCTCACTGATTGGGAAGGCCGGCACCAAGATCAAAGAAATCCGAGAGGTGAGAAGAAGGGGACACCCTCCCAGGCAGCCCAATCCGCCGCTGCTGAATGGGGTTCTGGGCTATGGCCTCTTTTCCTTTTGGGACCTCTGGGCCTGGGTAGCCCTTCTCTGGGATATGGGAGTAGCCAGAAGTGGCCCCTGTTCTCTGCTTGCAGACTACTGGTGCTCAGGTGCAGGTGGCAGGGGATCTGCTCCCCAACTCCACAGAGCGTGCTGTCACTGTGTCTGGTGTGCCTGATGCCATCATCCTGTGTGTGCGCCAGATCTGTGCTGTTATCCTGGAGGTACCACCCTAGGGAAGGGAGGGAGGGCGCAGGCGATGGTCCCTGAGCCTGCCTCGGACACACCCTAAGCCCTACACATGATGCCAGGTGGGGGCAGGCGGGGGCTACAGGGATGCATTAAGAGCTCCAGCATGTTGGGATGTATTTACCTGTGCGTAACAGGGAAGGCCTTAAGGACATATGTCCTTTGTAGGGGGTGTCAGTAGGGCCTGAGAGGGTTCTGACAGAATCTCCCCACTTGTACCTTCCAGTCCCCACCCAAAGGAGCCACTATTCCATATCATCCAAGCCTCTCCTTAGGTACTGTCCTTCTCTCCACCAACCAGGTGAGGGGGACCAGAGGGCGGGGTGGGAAGCATTACTGGAGAAGAGATTGAGATGGGGGAGTGGGTGGAAGAAGGAATTGGGGGTCCATGAAAGTGGGTAGGAGTGAGTCTAGACAAACTGCCTGGATCTGTCACAATAACCTGCTTTTCACCCACAGGGCTTCTCTGTCCAGGGTCAGTATGGGGCTGTGACTCCAGCTGAGGTGAGTGACCCACAGCCCAACAAGGCCCCTCCTGAACCACGCCTCCTCTGACTTCTGACCCTCCTTCTCTGGCGCAGGTCACCAAGCTTCAGCAGCTCTCAGGCCACGCCGTACCCTTTGCCTCACCCAGCATGGTGCCAGGTGAGAGTCCTGCAGAAGGAGGCAGGGGCGGATCTCAAGGGGCTGGGCTGCCCCCCCTAGAATGGTAAGGAGGCAGGAAAGGCCCAGCACCATGCCTGATCCCTCTTCTCCCCACTCAGGACTGGATCCTGGCACACAGACCAGCTCACAGGAGTTCCTGGTTCCCAATGACGTAAGCAGGGAATGGGTGTTTGTGGGTGGGGAGATGCTACTTGGGGTCTGGGCCTCACCTCGGTTTGAATTCCGCCCTCCCCCCAGCTGATTGGCTGTGTGATCGGGCGCCAGGGCAGCAAGATCAGTGAGATCCGGCAGATGTCAGGGGCACATATCAAGATTGGGAACCAAGCGGAGGGCGCTGGTGAGCGGCACGTGACCATCACTGGTTCGCCAGTCTCCATCGCCCTGGCCCAGTACCTCATCACTGCCTGGTGAGTATGGGGGAGCAGGCATGTTGCAGATCATGGGGTTTACACACCCAAGAAACTGCCAGGTGGGATGGGGAGAGCTGACCTCCTTTCTCCATCTGGGTCTGTCTTCTGCTACCCCAATCCTGCCTAACTCGTTCCATGTTGCCCCATCTTCCCCCTCTGTCCCTCATGTCCTTGCCCATCCCTTTCTATTTTCCCTGGGTCTTCAGCCTCCCCTTTGATCCCCACACCCCATGCTATATCCGCTTGTCCTGTCTTCCCAGCCTCACCTTTCTGCTTTCCCGTCTTCTCCCCAAACCCATCCATCCCCACGTCAGCGGTCTCCTCAATTTCTCTCTCCTATTTTTCATCTAATCTCACCCCTATATTTGCCCTCACTTTCCCCTCTCTCATCCCCCTCTTCCCTTTCATCTCCCCCCAATATCCCTCTTTCCAGTCTAGAAACGGCCAAGTCTACCTCTGGGGGGACGCCCGGCTCAGCCCCTGCAGACCTGCCTGCCCCCTTCTCACCGCCCCTGACTGCCCTGCCCACAGCTCCTCCAGGCCTGTTGGGCACACCCTATGCCATCTCCCTCTCCAACTTCATCGGCCTCAAGCCTGTGCCCTTCTTGGCTCTACCACCTGCCTCTCCAGGGCCGCCACCGGGCTTGGCTGCCTACACTGCCAAGATGGCAGCAGCTAATGGGAGCAAGAAATCTGAGCGGCAGAAATTCTCCCCCTACTGAGGCCAACTGAGGCACAGGCTTGGGGGGTGGGCAGGACCACCGGCCGGGGGCTGTCTCCACACTCTATCTGCCCAAGGAAACTCCACCCTGGGGTCCCAAATGCCGCTAATGCCCAGACGCATGGATGCACCTCCCTGCCCCTGTCCCAGTATGTGGGAGTTTCTTCTCTCAGAATTGGGGGAGTTTCTGGCCTAGTGTTCTGGGAGCCTTGGCCCCAGGGTAAGGGTTCCACCCCTTAGCTCTGTTCTTGAATGCAGGGAGCATCCTTAGTGCCCCTACTTTGGGGAGTCATTCATGCACTCCCCGCCCCTTAGGGCTTCCCAGCCTACTACCCCCCTGTGGGGATCAGGGAGGAGAGCTGGGGGCCAGCTGGGGGCCATGCTTCTCCCCACCTCCCTGCAGATTCCTGCTGCTTCCACTGAAACCCTTTTAACTGGAATGGACTGGTTGGGCTTGGCAGAATGCGACCCAGAGAGGGAGCACTGCCAGGTAGCTGGGGGAGTGGCATGGGGCAGGGGCCGAGCTCTCAGCAGCAGACACTCTGTACAGTTTTTTTCAATTCCTGTTTTTGAATAAATATTCTCAGAGACCAGGAAGCTGTGAAACACTGTGGGTATTGGGAGGGCAAACCCCTGAAAATGGGTGCAGCTGAGGTCCCAGAGGACCCCCAATTGGTGAATCCATCAGTCCCAGTTGGACCCTGGTCCCTTGTACATGCCAGTCTGGGACTTCATGGCCCTTTGAGGATCATGTTATCCAGCCTCCTGCCTCTGGCACCAATCTGATCCAGCTGTTTTCCAGGCATTTTAGAAGGTGATGGAGGAGTACAGTAGCTTTGTCCAGTTTCTCCTCAGTGCAGAGGTCAGGGCAGGCTCCCTATTGGCTCCTCCTGCTGTGGCTGTAATGCAGACCCTGCCCTGCTTGGCCCACCCCTTTGGCTGTAAATGCTAGGGCCCTCTTATCTGTGTCCCTGGCACCTCTACTGCTTCTTTGGCCTGGGGACCACCCAAAACAGCTAGCTGGAGGAGTCTTTAGTCATGGTCCAGAGTAGGGAAGGGAAAACAGGCCCATGAACAGGTAGTTTTGTGCGCAAGGCCATGTAGAGTGGGGTCCAGAACCTAGTATTCCTGGCTGCCAGAAGCCTTTGGGCCTCACCAGGCCCAGGTACACTTTCTCCCATTTGGAGCCAGAAATCTAGGCAGGACCCCTGCTACAACCTGTGCAGGAGGCTGGATGGGTCCCTCTGATACCACCCTCGGTTCTCCAGTCCTGGGCTCAGCTTGGGAGAGAGAGCTCTCATGTAGCTTCTGGTATGTGCAGACTCTCCCCTCTTGTCAAATCCGAGTCTTGTTCTGGTGCCTCAGAATGACCTAGGGCAGGGCCGTCTGAAGGTCCCTGGAGGTGCCGCAAAAGTGCCCGTGGATGCCAGGTCCTCGGAGTGCAGGCCCATGGTGGCCTCAGCAGGACTTGGCGAGCCAGGCGGCCCAGGGTCCGGCGAACCGGGCGCTGCAGTAGGCCATACAGGAAGGGGTGAACTGCGAAGGCCGAGTAGGCTACCCAGGTGACTGCAGTCTCCACTCTTGCGGCCTGCGCAGCAGGTGCTAGACATGCACAGCCATAAGGAAGCCAGCAGGCTGCAAATTGGCCTACGGCCAGCGATGGGGCTAGGGCTGCTTTGCCCCCCGGCAGGCGAGGCTGGAGGGGTGGCAAAATGGAGAGGCGGCTATCCAGAGAGTCGGAGCGTGGACGCGGCCCGCGCGCCGGCAGTGGGGGCCGCAGGGCAGCGCGGCGCGCCACAAGGAAAATGCCGCTATAGGCCCCAAGCAGCAGGAAGGTGGGCAGCGCGAAGGCCACCAGAGCCCAGAGCGGCCGGAAAGGGCCAAGGCCCCCCGCTAGCACCGAGCAGCGACCCGGGGCAGGGGGCGGTACGGAAGGCGGCCCGAGCAAGGAGAGTGCGCCCAGCAGCCCGGCCACAGCCCACAGGGTGGTGAGCACCAGAGTAGGCGGAGGCCAAGCACTTGGCCGCAGCGGTTGCACTATGAGGCGGTAGCGTGCTAGGCCGAGCGCTGCCACGCCAAGAGTGCAGGCGGGCAGTAGCACAGCGGAGAGGAAACGCGCCACACGGCAGGGTGCGGGGCCCAGGTGCATGCGACCCAGCCCCGGTGGCTGCGCGGTCAGCAGGCCTAGTGGCATAATGGAGGCCGCTGCCAGCAGGTCCACGATGCACAGGTGCATCAGGTAGAGCGCGTCGCGCAGTCCTGGCGTGCGCAGCACCACGACCAGCAGTGCACCGTTGCCCAGCAGTGCTGCCGCCTCCACGACTGCCGCCAGGACCAAGGCCATCGAGCCTGCTACCTCTGTGGCATTCAGCCCTGTGGTGTTGGCCATTCAAGTGCTCAGGCTTCACCCTGCGCTAGGATGCAGAGAGCAAAAAGGAATGTTCCCTTCCCCTCCCTCCCCCCATCACCAGGCCCATGCTCCTCTGGCATCTCACCTCATAGGCTGCCCAGGTACTGGCTCCCTTGCCCAGGCTGCCATCCTCTGTGGGGCTTGGCTGGTCCCATCAGGGGTGCAAGACCGGGCCTGCCGGCTTTCTCCTCTGCCCCAGCTACTCAGCCCCAGCTGGAGACGGTACTGGCTGTCACTCTGATGTGCCTTTGGAGACACACAGAGCTGGTAAGGGAGGGGCAGGGCCTGGCACCACACCAGCCCCCTGGGTCCTAGCAGCTGCCAGCTGAAGGCTGTAGGCCCTGCTGTGAAAGTGCCTGGGGGTGCCTGCGAGGGGCAGAATAGGCACAGGCTGGAGTCTAGGCTTAGGATGTTAGTGTGGACTTTGGAGTCAACCAGACCCTGTTCTGCTGTCCCGAGGTAGCTCCCCATCAGTCCTCCCCTCCCATCCCCATCAGGGGGAGTGATCAGATCATACAGTCCTTGTACTGAGGTGCCAGTGAGACAAGAGCTAGAGCAAGGAGACCCCTAGATACCCTCTGGCTCCCAGGAGGGCTAGCTCTTTCAAAAAGAGAGGAGGCTAGGTAAAATGAGAGAAAAATCACAGGACTTGGCACATAGTAGGCACTCAGCTAGTATTTATTAGCTTGGCACAGAACAGGTGCTTCATGATAGCATGTGGAATAAATGAAAGGCGTCCATAGGGAACAATTGCTGGTTTTGTTTGTTTTTGCTGCTCAAACAAGTCCTAAGGCTTGTTTACTAAGAACACCCTGACTTTATTTTAAGAAATCACCCCTCCCCAACTCCCAATTGGATTACAGATCTCGGAAATAAGATACCGTCCCTTTGATTAGGCAGGAGTCCCAGTCCTAGCCAGCCAGGCACCCCTAACCTCACCCCCCTCCCTGCCCAGATGGTCAGCTCAGGGAAAGTCCTGTGACTCCAGTGGGATATGTCCCCCAAGTGAAGTCACCCACACCCACGGCAAGACCCCATCGATAAATTGATGGCTTGCATTTGTATCTGAAGCTCCTTCCTCTTCCCTGAACCTGTGATTTGAGTGTCCAGCTTCCTCTTCAATATCTCCATCAGAATGCTGACTGCTGGGCATCTCAAACTTCCTGTTCAAAACAGCCAACCTGCTCCTCACAGTCCACCTTAGAGTAAACTCCATCTCTGAAGTTCTCATTGCTGCCTCTAAACTTCATTAACATACCTGAATCCAGTCATTTCTCCCACCACCACTGCACTAGTCCCAGCCACATCTCTCACCTGGACTGTTTCAGTGTCCTCCTAACGGATCTCCTGGCCTCTGCCTCTGCACCTCATGCTAGTCATTTGCTTCAGATCCATTCCCCCATTTTCCACAGTGCTGCTCTGCCCTTTAGCTTCCTTTGCCAATCAAATTTTGGATATATTCAATCAATGGGAGTAACCAGCAGGACTGGAGGGTGAAGGGAGAAAATAGGGATACTCTCTTTCTCATGCTCAGCTCTGGGCTCTGGGTCTACCTCCATAGAAGACAGCCTCTCTCTCCATGGCCCTGGTTCCCTCCAGGCAGGCTGCCCTGCTGAGCCTTAGAATAACAATTGTCTTCCACCAGTCCCCCAGCCTAAGCTTAGTTGCTAATCTTTGGAATGTCTCATCATCCCCTTTAGTAGTTCAATTCCTTCCCTGTATCAAATTCCTCTTGCTCAGAAAACCTACAGTGATTTCAGTTTTGCTGACAGCATCTTGACTGACGCATCCTAGAATCCATTTTCTACATAGCACCTGAAGACAGATCAGATCCTGACACTATTCTCATCCCTTAGAGCAGAATTTCTCTGAGAAATTTCTCAGAGTAGAATATTCCATCAGAATAGAATATCTGTTGCTCAGATTGGCCTTCCTCTCTGCTGATTGGCCCTCTTCCCACCTCACCGACCTCACCTTCCACCTTGCCTACCAAGCTTCCAGCCAAAGCAATCATCTTGCTGATCCTTCTACATGTCAAACTGTCCACCTCAGGACCTTTGCACTTGCAGTTTCCTCTGTCAAAATACCCTTCCCACAGCTTGCCCCCTCACCAGTTCAGGATGCCGCTTGAGAGAGGCCTTCAGTGACTATCTTTTGTAAAATTGTTCTACCTTCCCATCACTAATCCTTTCACTCTGCTTTATTCTTATTTTTGGCTCTTCTCCTGCCTGATGTGCTATTCCATATCTATGTACCTGTCTTTGTTCAGAGCCTGTTTCACTGCGCAGTAAGCTCCATCACAGCAGGGACTTGGCCTGTGTCTTGCTCATACCAGTGCCCCTAGGGCCCATCACAGGTATAGTTAGCATCAACACAGAGTAGGTGGTGGAGACAACCTAGAACTCCAAGTTCAACTTGTTTCTTGCTGGAATTCAGAGGGCCTCAATATAATTTTCCATAATTCAGATGAGAAAACTGGCATCCAGAGAGGGAAGGAATATGTCCCAGATCACAAGCTGAGCTATACTTTGTTTCTTAGGCTCTGTGCACATGGACACTACTTCCTATACTTGGCCACAACTTGAACATGGATTTGCTTCCGGGAGGTGAAATTCGTTCCAGGAAGGGAAAGGCCAACACCTTTCTCTCTTCCCTGCCCAATTAGATCTGTAGGCCTGAGGCAGCCCTTGAGCTATCAGGGTCTGGAGGTGACTTAGCAGGGCCAGATGGGAGCAGCAAATGAGAAAGGTGGGCTGGAGAAGGTAACAGGGACAGATGGGGATTGTGGTGGGTTGGAGAGTACATGTTCCCTTAAAAATTACTCAAATAAATTAAAAATTAAAGCACTCTGTAGTTTATCTGTTGTTTAATTGGCAAAACGAAATGCAGGATTAACCAGAAACTAATGGCATTGGCTTCGTGCAGCAGGTAAGTGGGAATGGAGTGACGAGCTAGGAGATGGACAATTCTGAGCATGCATTTTTGTATAGATTAGGCCTTTTGGACTATGTTAATGTTCTGCACATTGAAAGAAAAATAGGTCAGTGAAGATGGGGAAAAGCCCCTAAAAGTGAATATAAATAGAAACAAATGAACCTACCTATATTTCAAGTTAATAGCATAACTACATTAAAGGGACATAAATAACTAATCCAACTAACATGTTGATCATCGACCTTTAGTCTAAAGACAGAAAGATAATCTTGAATAAGAGTCACTAAAATTTGAGCTCTGCTTAGAAAGTTTATTTTTCACAATGGCATGAATAGTATAGCAGTTTCTAAATGCCTTTTTATGTGGGACTGAGAAAAAAATTGTTGTGTGTGTGGGGGACTGGTAGCAACCAAGGTTCTTACCATTAGAGCAGGAAGGTATAAATGTGGAATTTGAGAAGAGTGGAAGAAGCCTGTAGTGTTTCATTGGAATTGGAGAAATACAGACAGATATGTTTTTGTTTATTTATGGGTACTCTTTCCTAGCACTCTTGCTACAAGGACGTAAAGGCCCCAGTGCCAAGAAGCACAGCCATTAGCCAGAGCTTGAATTCTAAATTACCATTTCCTGCTCGAGGGAACCAAGGCTCCTTGGAAAAATGTCTAATTCCAAGTTTGTGCAAGAGGAACCTGGGACATTTTGTGAGGCCAGAAAGTAAGGCATTTAATGAGCTCAAGAAATGATGGAGACACAGAAATCAGCTTCAAGGACCTTTATTGGTCAATATGGGATAATCTGGAGGTCAAAATAAGTAATGAGAATAATATATAGAATGGACTATATAGTGCATTGCATAAAATAAGAATCCAGAAATACATAGTGATAGTAAAGAAAGGGGAATATTATTTAATAAATATGAAAGAAATGATGAAATCAAATAACTACCATTTGCAACCACCTTAGCAAAAATCGATTCAGATCATCCCTTTCAGGTAAAAATCATCAATGGATATTATAAGTCAGTGGGTGAAGGTTAATGAGGAAAGGGGCATTTAAATTGCAAAATATTTTCCCAAAGATTCCTGGGAAATTTACAAACAGGAGAAATGGTACCTCCTCAGTGGAGAAACCTGGTAGACGCCACCGGAATTAAGCAATCAAAGTTAATATGACCAAGTATGAGACATGTCCTTTCTGCTACATGTACTGAGAACACCTCATTTATATAATGTTCCTGCATAAAAGGCAATACTTGAATCTAATCTTGCCAAAACTTGGACAAAGCCAAATTGAAAGAGATTCTATAAGACAATTGTCGTATATTCTTCAGGAGTGCCAGGAATGCCAATCATGAAGGGAAAAAAAGGCTGAGCAACGGTGTCGGGTTAAAGGCGACTGCAGAGACATGACAGCCCAAAGCAGTCTGATCGCGGGCTGGATCCTGACCTGCTCTCCGGCATCTCCATCTTTCGTTTGTAGACAGGGGTTATCTGGGGTGACAGCGGGCATTCCTTTAATGACTGCAGAGCTGTGCCCCTCTGATGTATGTTCAACTCATTTATAATATTCAGACATAAGTCACATGAGGATGCTGAGATATGAAAACTTTGATTTACCTGGCAGTACCGGGCCTAAAGGACAGACTCACCAGGGGGTTCGCCAAGTGGCTAATTTGGGGTCAGGGTCCTCTTTGAAGACTCAATTATCAAAAGACGTTTGTTGTTGCAGTGATGGATGTAAGGTTGATCAGGGCAGGAGTGTGTGTGTGTGTGTGTGTGTGTGTGTGCGTGTGTCTGTCCCATATCAACCCTTGTGAGTGCATGCTCCCTGGTGTGGGGCTGGAGTGTCGTGATGAGTTGCTATGGAGAAAGGAGGTCCAGGTCTGGTGCAGCTGCAGTGCAGTCAAGGAGAAGCTGGGGCAGGGATGGGTGGGTGAGGGAGTGAATTTACATCTTTAATGAACTTGCTTGTGATGCTTAAAGTTCAGCTTACCTTGGTGATCATACCTCTCAGGTGGACAGTTTGGGCCAGGGTACAGCCTGGGTGGATGTAGAATCTGGCCCACTTTTAGCCTGTGCCCCTCTAACCACACAGCCTTTAATAGGCTGCTTCTCCATTTCCCAGTAATAATGCCAGCCTAGCATGCCCATCATCTAAGGAGGTGAGACCCTGGGGGGCACAGCCATACCAAGGCTAACAAGGATTGGGGGATCACTGTCTGGGACACAGAAGGGAGATTTGGAAGCTAGAAGGGGTATACGGGGACGTCAGAGGTGGGCAGGAAGATTGGAGGTGATGGTCTAGTTCCCAGCAGGGCCCTGGGGGCCCGGGTGGTAGCTCAGAGGTGAACCTCCAGCAGGTAGCGCAGGCGGCACTGGCTCTCTTGGTAGATGAGGTACTCGCTCTGGGAGAAGCTGGAGCTGCTGAATGCTGCGCAGGGCACAGGTCGGCCCTGGGGCACTGCTACTCGCTGGCCATCCAGTTCCAGTTCTGTGTCCTCGGTCGGATCTGCAGGGCACAGCAAGGGTCATGGTGCCTGATCTCAACAGTAAGTCCTGCCCCACTATGCTGTCTACTTCTGTTTCAGGGAATGCCTGCTCATTCCCACCTTGGCAACGTCTAAATCACTACTTGTCATCACATCACTTCTCTGAAGCCCTCCTGGTGCCCAGGAGTGATTTGTTGAATCAGCAAATGTTTGTTGAATGACAAAGTGAACTACTGCAGAGAGAAAGCCTGCTTGGTTTTGTCCCTCTTAACAACCCCTTCCTTGCTCACCTCCTCCCTGAAAGCCTCCTGGTCCCCTATCTCAGTCCTACCTCTATTGTCAGGCCCACCCAGCTTCTTGGGACTCACCGGGCTCTGTGTGGCCTCGTGCAATGACACTGTCAAAGCCAGGGGGTGGCTGCTTCAAGCTGGGCTCATCAATGGTGATGTGGTGCTCTCTGCCCAGTGCTACCTCACCCAGGAACATGTAGCCAATGCAATGGGTCCCGCAGGACATGCCCGTAACTGTGGGACACAGGGAGGTTCAGGTGGACAGTCTGGCCCCTCTTGCTTGACTCCCTGGGCTCCTCTACTCTAGTTATTGCCTCTGGTTTTGCTGCCCCATACCAGAAAAGTGCCCTCTCTTCTTCCATCCTAAAGCACCCCTTGTTCTGGCTGTGCTCCCTCATACCTTCCTCCCTCACTCTTGGGGCCTCTGCAGCCAGGCCTCTGTACCTCCATTTGGCCCCACCAAGGTAAAAAATGGCTTCCCGGTGACCAAATCTGAGGTGGGAGCTTTTCTCCCTGGCCTGCTGCTTTTCCAATGGCATCCTTCACCCCCTACCTGGGACCTGCTTGTACTGGCTCTCCTGAGGTCACCCTCCCTTCCTTCTCAGACTCCTCTGCCCTCCTGGTGGACCCCTTGGCTTTGGGCAACCTCAGAACATCCTAGAACTTCAGCCCCACCTGTCCTTGGATGAATCCTTGGACCTTGCTCTCTTGGATGGGTGGGTAGTGGAGTCACTAATGATGGGGTCAGCCTGGGCTGAGAAGTCAGTGTGGGGAGGTCATGTCAGTGAGGATACCTTTGGACTGAAACTTGAGGGTTATCAGAGACACCCTGGACCTTTTCCCATATGCTGCCCATTCCACCTCCCACAGGTCCTGATACTCCCCCACCTACACTGCCTTAGGTGCCATCACATATGACCTGTGTGACTGTAAGGCCTCCCCTCAACCTCTGCCTCAGTCATGGCTGCAGCTGTGGGCCTGCCATACATAAGACCAGCTGGATGCCACATGGCTCCCTTGATCTTCTGGAACGCCCAAGGTCCCTGCCCATGCTAAACCTTTGCTCTATGGTATATTGTCAGGCTCTGCTTGGAGGCCTAACCTTCCACAAACTCCCAGCCTCTGCTAAATTTCCTCTTTCAGGCCCTCCTGGCCTGGTTGCCTTGCTTGTCTTATCTGTATCACCTCTAAGAAGTTGTCCCTGACCACTGGGTACACTCGGAGTCTCCCCAAGCCCCAGGATGCCCTGCTGAGCACTCTGATCAGAAACCAATCAATGGCTCCTTTCGAGGATCCACTGGGTTTCCAGTGGACAAGGGTAGGGCCCAAGCCTCCTAGGGTCCCCATACCTGCCCAGAACTTGGCCCTGAGGGGTGCCTCACCATAGCCAGCTGACTTGCTGTTCTCCGAGGCAAAGTAGATGCCCTTGCCAACACGGCCACCAGAATGTGGCATGATGCGGAGCCCACTGGTGAGAATGGCGGCCACCACAGCCACGTTGGTGCCATGCCAAAGCAGCCTCCGATTACCCAGCTTGGAGTGGGCCTGGAACCTGTCTTCCTGAGGGGGGAGGACGTTGGAAATGGGAGAGTCATACCATCCAAGCTCAGGCAGTTCTCCCTGCTTTGCAGAGGCGGTGACCAAGGCCGAGGGTTCCTCTGGTCACTCACACATACATGCACAAGGCCTAGGCCTGGCAGAAATTGGCCAGCGTTCCTAAACAGACTCGCTAAGAGCAGAAAGGCTGAGATCGTCTCTCTAAGGGACACGGTGATGATGGGGGAGGAGATTGGGGGAAACTTCTCTCACCTCGCCTTCTCGGTTCACTTTCCAAACATGCTGAAGAGCAGGGCAACTGTGGTTGTTGCCGGTCTGTTTTAAGTAGGTAAGTATCACCTGTGGGGAGAGCAGAAGTTGGGTGGCAAGATTGAGAGGCATGTGAATGACCCCCACTAGACTCCTAGTCCCAGAAGTCTTCCTCAGGCTGGTGGGCAGAGATATGGTGTCTACTGTGAGCCTGGCCCACCTGGTACTCTGGTGCCTTTGAGTCCAGCAGCTGGAGCTGGCATTTGAGGAGTTGGTAATCTCGGTCCAGGGGGTGTGGCACCTCCTCCACTTTCTCCTCCTCCTCGGGAGCTGCCTGCAGTGCCTGGGCCAGCTCGATGTCCGCCAGCACCTACGGCAAAGGGCATCAGCTGCTTGACTGCCCACCTGATCCCAGCTCCCCCTCCCTCCCACTGCAGGTAACATGGCCACCCCATGTCCGTCCACCTGCTCGTCCTCCTTCCATTTCTCTGTCTGTCCTTCCACTCCCCTGTCCTTCAGTCTGCCCACTGCAGTCTCTCTCTCTGTGCCTTCTTGACCACCTGTCCCCATGTCCCTAGCCCTGCCTGTCCAGTACTCCCACTGCCTGCCCACCTGCCAGCCCTTACCAGCAGCATGTCTTTCTTGGCCTGCAAGAGCTCAGGGGAGTTGATGAGTGGGGGCCGGTTGCGGCCGAAGTTGTGGGGGATGACCGTGTAGAAGTGGGAGGACAGTTCCTCCAGGCTGCGGGCATGATCTGTGGGGGCTTTCAGGGCTTCCTCCAGGGCCTCCAAGGCCTCAAAGCCCCGTGCAATCTGCTGCTTGCTCAGCTTTCCCAGGGGCATCTTCTTCACATCTAGGGGGAGAGGGCGAGCAGGGAGACTCAGACCCACGGTCCCATCTCCTGGGCCCCTGCCACCCTGCCTGGCCCCTCTCCCCTCACCCAGGTTCATTTGGGCCATGGAGTTCTTGAACATGTCCTTGCTGAAGATGTTGGTGATAAGCTTCTGTGTAGCTGCATCCAGAGAACAGGGCCGCACCCGCTGACGCACGGTCTTCACTGGGCCTCCGTCCATCTAGCAGAGAGAGAACATGGGTGCAGGAGCAGCTGAACTGGGCTCCCGCACCTGGAGCAGGGCCCGGCACTAGACAGAGAAAAGCCAGGCTGAGGCCAGAGCAGGGACATCTGTGCCTGAGTTTCCACAGCCGGGCCGCGGCAGAGCCCGTGGGTCTCTCCTCCAGTCCCTTCCCTTGGCCCAGGACCCACCTGCTATCCCAGGCCATTTTACCTTCACCACAGCTTCCTGGGCATCATCCTCCGCCTGCACTTCGATAAGTGTGTACTTCCCAGGGTGGGCCACAAAGTGGTTGCGCTCTGCCCAGCTGTTCTTGGTTTTGTCCCGAAATTTCTTCTCAAAGTCCTTCTTTGCATCCTCCAGTAATGCAAAGTGGCTGAGCTTTGACCGGCCCACCTCCCCCTGCAACAGACAGCCTTCAGGGGCGTGCTCACCATAAGCATTTGCTGGACTCTGCGGTGCCAGACCCTGTATCTAGCCCCCTGGACAGGTGGCGAGTGGGAGGGGGCACAGTGGACAGCTGTGGCCTTTTGGGCTGAGTAAGCTTGGGGACTGGAGGGAGCGGGGGCAGGTACCAAGCAAGGAATGGTAGGGAGGAGGTGGGCACGAGGGAGGTGGCACTCACCACACGGCCCCAGCGGTTCCAGCAGGCAAAGCCATCACCTTCTTTTAGTAGCTGGATGACATAGAACTTATTGTTGTTGTTCCCGATATTGGTCTGGTTTAGGGTGCAGTCATAGTCTTCATGTACCTGTGGCCGGGAAGGGTGTGGGGAGGGTGGGCTGGCTTGGGCTGCCCCAGTGTGGGACAGGGTAACTGCTGCAGCACACTGGCGGGGGCTGGGCAGGGCAGGAGGCAGCCTACTCACCAAGGCCTGACAGACTGGGCCTTCAGAGGAAGCCGTCTTGGAAAGCATGAGAGGGTTAGGGCTCAGCTCTGGGGGATGCAGTATGAGGGGACACGGCTAATCTTGGGCATGGTGGGGGAGGATCTAGAACATGGCTGTGTCCTGGGTGGGGGAATCTGAGGGAGACATGGTTCTTCCTTGGACATTCGATAGGGACACAATCCTGCCCCATGAGGGATCTCAGGGGGATCTGGTTTGAGGGGATATAGGTGGGGGCACCTGAGAAGCTCAGGGAAGAGCAGACACGACCTGCTGCTATGATGGGATATAGCCCTGCCTGACCTTTGGGATTTGGGGAGAACGTTGTTTACTTAGGAGACTTGAATTACAGAGTTGAACCCTAGAGGCTAGGAAGCAGGTCTCAAAGTATTTGCACTTTCAGAGGAGGGCTGCAGCTTACCTGGGTCTCAGGATTGCTGCTGAGTGGGCATGCAGGGTCCACTCGGATGATGCGCTTCTCTGTGGGTGCAGCCCTCAGGGCCTTGGCTGCTGAGCGGAAGCTGTCCTCCTCCTCTGCCCCCTGCCGCCCCTTCTTTTTCTCAGGGACCTCATGAGATACCGGAAGCTTGCGCTTTGGAGCCATGGCTGTTCTGGAGCACAGAGCAGGCTCAGGTATCCATGGCTTCTGCCCTTCCTAGCTGGCTCAGCACCAAATTTGCCACACCCTGGATTTGTACTTTGGCAGCCTCCCCATGCCTCCACTGTCCCCACCCCCAAACTGGCTCTCTGCACCTTAGATATACCCCTCCACACAGTCAGGCGCAAGGCCAATCTGCCCACTCTGTCTAGGAAGGGTGATTCCCTATCCTGACTAGCTCTCCACTATACCCAAAGGTGTTAAGGAAAGTGAAAGAAGCATCTCTCCCCTCCCACTTCCAGGCTCCTCCTCCCTCCAGAGCTCTCTCTGGGTACTGCTCCTCCCTCTCATCTAACACCAGCTTGGCATGGTTGCAGGGCTGAGTCACCCCAGCTATGGAGGACAGCGGGCAGCGGCTCCCTGGGGCAGTCTCCTAGGGCCAGATCTATTTGCCCGTCTAGAACTTGGAACCCAGGGCACAACTCCCAGCTGGGGCTCAAGAGTTCTAGGGTGACAGCTAGGGCCCCAGATCATGGCCTTGAATTGTTAGGGGGAAAAGAATGTCCTAAGCTAATCCATACAGGCTTTGTGGACTCCACCCCCACTCCAGACCAAAGCCATCAGGACGCTGGGAAAGACAAATCCCATCACCACCAAAGGGAAGGTTGCTGGGACCTGAGGGTGGGGTTAAGCAGCCAGGTTTGGTATAAAACCAGACACGTGGGCCTTGGGGTGGCTCCTTTTGGCTCTCCGCCAGCTCTCGGCTCTTGGCCAGTTCTCAGAATGCCATTGGGTTTCCAGGTCGGTGGATCGGGTAGGACGCATTTAAGACTTTATTTCCCTATTTTCTCCCTGAGTTGTACATTCCCTCATTTCCCCTTCCCTTGTAAATAAACCTTTTATTAACCTTTTGTGTGTGCCTACAATGGAGTATTACCAAGTCCCTTTTAAGCGCTCGGGTGAGGACCCACAGCCAGGCAACCCGTTTTATATCCGGGCTGCCCTGTAATAGAACCACCAAAGGGCAAGGGCTGGTTCCACCCTACCCTGCCCAGCCCTGCCCAGTCCAGCCCTGCCCATCCCTGCCCAGGGCTGCCGGCAAAAACCTTCCTTAGGGCACTCACCTAAGAGAAACAGTGACCTGAGAGACGTGGCTGTCACAGGGCCTAGTATCAGGACCTCCTACAAGCAGTCAAAGTTCTAGGGTCCCCTCTAGCACTCTAGCAATCCTCAGTAAGCCTTAGGAGTGACTTAGGGAGGGACTTCCCAACAATCGCGGGGGGGGGGGGGGGGGGTTGGGGGGAGGGAGGGGGGAGTGACAGGGGGGTGTGCAGGGAGGGGTGTGTAGGATTCTAGTCGATGAGTCAGAGGCTGGGGCAGGCGGAGGCCAGTGGCCTGTCCCATGGTTGGGTGGACACTTAATTGGGACACAGCCAAAGCCGAGGGGACTGATGTGTCCCTAGTGCTGCTCGTCTGGCCTGGGCATACAGTCCGCGTCCACTGGATGCATAATGACCCTGGGAGTGAGCGCGGGCACTACCTCCCTCTCTCTGGGATGCCTGGATCCCCGCCCCCCTCCCCCGTTATCAAGCGCCAGGCTGGTTCACCCTACCCCGCCCCTGACGGGGAGGAGTCATGCTCTGAACACACAACCCCGTATCTCTGACGCCCTCTAGTGTCCATGGTGCAAACGCACAGGGAAGGTACTTCTAGCCCGACTCCTCCCTAGACGCACGCTAGCCGCAGAGCGCACGCGCCTCAGTCGTGGCCGGAAGCGCGGGGAAGAGACTCTTCCTGGAGGCTGGCGCGGGAGCCTATAGGACTTCTAGGGGGCGTGGCCACAGGCGCTTATCCTATGGTTGCTCGAGGGCGTGACCGAGACTACTGAGCGGCCCAATGCAGCTGCGGGAGGCGGGGCCCGCCGAACGCTGAGAGCCTATCAGAGCGCCGAGTCTTGCCAGACCGCCCGGTTGTAGCCGCCACGTGAGTTCCTCGGCCGCTGCTGTGACACACACGGCCGGCAGAATGTCGGGGGCACCTGCGGCTCGGAAGCGGGGCAAGATGAACTCAGGGGCCGGGGCCAGTGGTGGTGCCGGAGCCAGTAAGCGGCGGCGAAAGGTGAGAATGGCTGTTTTGCGGGCAGGGGTCATTTGCGTTACCGGGACCACCGTTATCCCCTCCTCGGGGCTCCGGCGCCCGTCCCCACGCCGGCCTTCTCCCGGGTCCGCAGCCGGGGTCAGCTTCGTCCCTCTCACCTCGGGCCGAGGCCTGGGAAGCCTTGTTTTTGAGCCGGGGCCAACTCCTCTCCCCTTCCCGGGGTTCTCGAGAGACCGAAAGGGCCTCTTGGTCAGTGCCGGCGTGGTGGAGACACCTTACCAAAGAAAAGATCATGTAATTCCCAGGCCGACTCTGCTGGGGACAGGGGCAAGTCCAAAGGAGGCGGCAAGATGAATGAGGAGATCTCCAGCGACTCTGAGACTGAGAGGTGAGCTCTTCGTTTCTACCTAGTGAAAGGGAACGCGGAGCCTTTGGGGTGTGGAAGACTGAGTGGGGGCAGAGTTGGGCTAATAATCCAGGACTCTTGGCTCCCAATCATGACACCTTTTTCCAGTTTCTGACCCTAAGAAGTACTTTCTCCCGTGCAGGGTCTCTGAGCAGAACCTCACCCCCCGTGGGAGATAATGAGACCTCCCTGACTCATGGTGGGTAGCTGAACACAGGCTGAACTCACTGGCAAGGAGGTGGTGGAGAGATACAAGAAATGCTGCTCATTCTTCATTCTGTGTTTCCACATTTTCACCATTACCTGACTCAGTATATGCCAGGCACTGGCTTCCCTGTGGAGAGTATAGAGATGAGCAGGCAGGTGAGGGAAGAAATGTATTGTAGTGGGATGGGTATCTTAAAACTCTGTTCTCCCAATAGAAGGGGGAACATTTAAGTAGTGTCTGGTGAGATGAGGAAGAGTCCCTCATGGAGATAGGGAAGGCATTCAGAGAAAAATCTGGGGTGTAAATGTGCCAGAATAGAAGATGGAAAAGATGGAATGGCACATTGTGAAGGAGGGCCTGAATACCTTCTTCATTCTGAGGTGACAGAGGAGGTGGGGCATGTCGCAGGGCTTCAAAGAGGGTGAACAAGGTATCAGGCCTTACCCTATGGAGTGGAAACTTGCATATTAGGAGCTCCTAGTGTCTTCCTTAAGAGTTAGTTTTAGGAATTCTGCTTCCGAAATTGAGTATGTGTTGACCGGAACCTGCCTGTAGAAAGACTTAATGTATTTTTCTTAATCCTAAGCTGCTCTGGGTGTGTGTGTGTAGCCAGGCTCTTTGTTAAGAGTACTTGAACTATAGAGTTCAAGTACTTGAACTCTAGAGAGTACTGAGGTGATGAATCTCTGTGTACCCACCTCTTCTGTTAAGAACTAGACCATTTGCAGAAATTTAGAAGTCCCAACTGCTGCTTTTGACTTGAGTTAGTAATTTCTTTGGTTTCCTTCCTTTTCTCCCCCATATTTTCATTTAGGTAGAGTTTACATACAGCAGCACTCATCTTTTTTAGTGTACAGTTCTGTGAATACTGATCAGTGCAAACAGTTGTGTAGCTACCACCTCATAGAAGGTTTTTATCACTCTCCAAAATTCTTCCCTCCTCCTCTGTAGTCAGTTCCTCTCTCTTTCCCCAGTTCCTGATAACCACTTTCCCTAAGGTTTTGCTTTTTCCAGAATGTTATATGAGTAGAATCACACAGTGTACACTTCCCATGATTTTCTTTAGAGTTCTGTCTCCTGTGTGTGAATCCCTGAACAATAAATTGATTAGCTTGTATAAACTGAGTAGAAAGTGGGAGCTTGGCTATGTAAGGGAAGGGGAGCACCACTCTCTTGGCTAAAGGCTTGTTGAGTACCAAGTAGTCTCTGGGGGGTTGGTTTGGCCATGGCTTCCTTGAGAATTTTCAAGGTCCCTTCTGGGAAAGTTGTGGGCAAGGTCATGAATGAATCCTGGGAGAGAGTTGGGACACCTGAGAGGCAGGCATGTCACAAGAAGGAATGTATGAGGGCCTCCCTGGTGACACAGGGGTTAAAGTCTAGCTCTATCAAGTGATCACCAGCCACTGCAGCATGAATTCGATCCTCGGCCAGGGAGCTAACCCACATGGCGCAGCAGACCTCTCCTGTCTCACCCACTGCTCCCCTTGGCAATGTATTTCAGTAGATCCACCTGTTCTGCTCCCCACTCTATCTCTGGTGAATCCTCTCACCCCCACCCCCACCTCTGGCCTACACCCCAGTTCTTTTATGTATAAATAACTAAAAATAAATCTTAAAGAAGAAGAAGGAATGTATGAGCTGGATTCTGAGATCCTGTGACCTACTCTAGCTCCTAGGAACAAGTCATAGTAGAACTTGTCTTGAGTGAAGTAAATGTTCTCAGCTGGTCCAAGGATTGGGCTGTAGAGGGGAAAGCTGGACTGTCATCTGCAAAGGTCAAGCCAAGGCCAGTTCCTGCTGCACCCAGAATCTCCATCCTTCAGGTAAAGGATGGGTGATGATAGTCCCAATATGTCTGCCTCTCCAGTCCTTGGATTGGATCCATTTGCTGCTTCCTCATATCTGGGGTGGTTGTCCTGCAATCTACCTTTTTTGCCTCCATATTGGAGCTCTGCCCCATCTCCCATGCTTTTGTCATTCTTTTTTTCTTTCTTTTTTTTTTTTTATAAGATTTATTTATTTATGCATACAAGAGCTGGGGTACAGGCCAGAGGTGTGGGAGGTGAGAGGATTCACCAGAGACAGAGTGGGGAACAGAACAGGCAGATCAACCGAAGAACACCACTGAGGCGAGTAGCGGGCGAGACAGGAGAGGTCTGCTGCGCCATGTGGGTTGTTCCCTGGCTGGCTGGGGATTGAACTCGTGCTGCAGTGGCTGCAGACAGCTTCATGGTTGCATCTTAACCTGTTGTGCCACCAGGGAGGCCCTGCTTTTGTCATTCTTAGTTTACCCTCCTGTTTGGGAGCACATCCCCCTTCCTTAAAGGAGAAAAGATCCTTTCTGCGGTACCTTCTACATCTGACAGTATCTTCATTGATGTTGATGGTTTGACTAGCTTGGCATTCCAGGGATTAGCACTTTCCTTGAGAATTTCGTGTGTGGCTCCTTTGTGGTCCTCCTCTCAGTGTTCCTGCTGAGATATGTGAAGCTATTTTGATTCCTGACCCTGCGTGAATTTTCTTGGAAGCCTATAGACCCTTCTCTTTCCAAGAATTTTCACAATGATCTCTTTGGATTTGGGGTCTGTTTTCACCCTTACGTAGGGCACTGTTTGGGGCCTGTTATATTTGGTAAGTCACGTCCCTGGGTTTTCTGTATGTGTAATCATTGGCTGTGAGACGGATAGCATGGGGGGTGGTTAAGTGGCAGAGGGGGATAGTGAGGAGGCACAGTCCTAATGACTGGAGGAGTCCTTCAAACCCAGCTACCTCCTGCCCACAGCCTAGCTCCTAGGAGGACTGAGGAAGAGGAGGACGAGGAGCTGGAGGAGACTGCACAGGAGAAGAAGCTGCGCTTGGCCAAGCTCTACCTTGAGCAGCTCAGGCAGCAAGGTGAGCCTGTGGGTTGGGCAAGGGAGGGCTGGGGCCTGTGCCTAAGCCTGCCTGCCGCTGCTGCTGCAGCCCCAGCCACCTGATGGGTGACTGACACAGGTACCTAGAGGGCAGCCAGGGGTGCTGATGCTGATACCCTGTGGGAGGGACAGGCCAGACCTTCAAGGGGCTTTAGAATAATCTGATAAGTAAAGACAGGGGTGGGCAGAAGGAAACCATCCAACCCTCTGCCAGAGGCAACCTGAACTTCCTGTGGGGCCCAACCCAAGTATTTGGGGCCCAGGCCTGAGGTGGTAGGGATGGGGGGAATGGGAAAGGAAAAGAGGAGTCTTGACCTCAGTTTTCTTGGTTTGGTCTGTTTTACACAGAGGAGGAAAAGGCTGAGGCTCGAGAATTTGAGGAGGACCAGGTGGCTGGGCGCCTCAAGGAGGATGTGGTAAGTGGGGAGGAGGTGTAAGGAGGAGGGGTGGGGCGGGTCTTTTCCTGGGATCTCACCCCTTTCTTCTCCATGCAGCTGGAACAGAGGGGAAGGCTCCAGAAGACAGTGGCAAAGGAGGTGAGTGGACAGGCACTTTGGTATAAAATTGGAGGGAATTGGGTTGGTAGGTAGACAGCCCAGTTGGGGACCCAGCTGGCAGGGTGTTTCCTCTGGAACATGGTAGGCACTTGGG